TCTCGCGCTGCCTATTTTACCGTTACACAAACAAAAGATTCCAATCAGTGTCAGGGTCACCCTGACACTGATTGGCCGGGCATGTTTAAGTGTGAAAACGGAATGTCATGAAATGTCACGGAATGTCAAAATTGTCTAATTTCCTTAAAAATTTTCCGGGGGGCTTCGCCCCCCTACCCCTCCCGAAAGGGGCTCCGCCCCTGGACCCCGCAGGGGGCTTCGCCCCCTTGCCTCCCCTGGGTTGAAGACGTGATGTAGCCCCTGTGACAGTATCACGTGTAGCTAATCTGCTCCAGTCTGTAGCTCACTGCAAAAGATAACGCATTCTACGTCTGATGTTAAACAGCTTACATATCTTCCAACCGAGCCGTCAGGAATTATATGGCCAAACTCACTCCCCTACGTCATCACGTTTCAAGTGAACGTTCTCGAATTTAATTCAATCTGTCTCTACAGAGGAATATTTTTAACACGTGGTTTAAAAGAACTTGTGTCACTGGCCAGCTAGATGAAGGAATTGTATCAGCGTGGTATGAATTATTGAAACCCAATACAGGTGTGGGTTATGAAGAGAGAGAGATGGTTGATCGTCTAGGTTTGAGATAGGTTGATTAGTTTCAGGACTTTAGTTCCAACAGACTATCTGTCTGTTCCCACAATGGAACTTGTAGGTTGCGTTGTGTTTTAGTTAGAGTGAGTTGACCAAATAATACGACTTTAAATCGGGTTGGTTGTAGCTATGTATCAATGTATCAGTGTATAAATGTATCAATGTATCAATGTATTAATGTATCAATGTATTAACAATTAGGAACGATGATAGGTTTTACTATGTCTTTGGGATGCAGTCAGGAAGTCAAGAAGTCGGGAATTAAGGGTGTGTCTAGGGTTTTTATAGGTTGTATCATTGACGTAGGGTTTACAATCACGGAAACGATTATCTTGGTCATCGTTTCCGCTACTCGAAATCATGAACAATGAGCGTACACTGGACAAACGGGACAGAACAATGAGAACCCTCGCTCATCTATTACTCCATTAATTACTTTTTCCTATAAGATGATTCACCTATAGATGATTCACCTTTACGTTGTGAAGCCAATTGTTTGTTAACCTCTGGCGTCACAATCAGTTCCGGTTTGCAGTCACAGGCCCTGTCTGTGACCTATTAACTATAAGTTACCTCATTTGGAGATGTGCCAAGCACAAGTTGACAGCTGGCAACCTGCCAACAGGGGATAGCAATGTTATATGGCTTAGAGTGTGCAAAGGGTGGTCCACACAGGCGCGGATAACATAATTTTAATCGGGCAATGCACGGCTGGGTGGTAACCATGGTAACTGTGTTGTTGTAATGCAGACTGGTGGTAACCATGGTAACCAATACAGAATACTGAGGTTCAGGAACTGGTTTCATCATTTTATAACAGGTAGTTCTACTTCTAGCTACATCATAATGTAGACATTGTACGTCGACCCGGGGATATACTTTAATATACTTTAATATACCTACAATATTTAATATATCCCTATCTCCTTGGAGGCCTACATCAAAAATTGTTGCCCAAAATAAGCTTGAAATGCAATTCCTAATCGATTCCAAAAAGTTCTTTAAAAAATATTGAAAATTGATGGAGTTATTTCAATTTTAATGAAGTCATTTTGGCTTGTATTCCGAACCGAGATATTATGTGCAATTTTCCCAATTTTGTTCATGGAGGTCTTTTTACTTAGTATCCACTATATTCAACAAACACTGAGTTATATCTTTCACATAGAGTTAGTCTCATTAAAAAATATTGAAATTTTATCGAATTTAGGCAAAAGCGAATTTGGGCAAAAGCGTATGCCCAAATATGGGCATATTTTTTTAAGCTCATAGCTCAGCCAATTTTTGACCAATCTGGATGGAAATTCATGTGCTAGTCCTAAAACAGGCTTATCTTGCGAATCTGAGTGAAAAATATAGTTCATCATGTAAATCTTAACGAAGAATATAAATCTTCTAATTGTACCGTAGGTATATTAAAGTGTAAAATCCGGATTGGAGTATTATTTATGAGTCGCATTGTTGTAATGTATTCTGTGTAAAATTATTTTTATCCCGGTTGTTGCGACAAGTAACAAGAAATGCGGCCGCTTTTCTTTGTGGATGGCCGCTCAATTTCCCGATCCGTGATGGAGTATTTGATCATATTCCATACCACCTGGGGACCCCAGTCTTTACTGTTTATAAGCATGCAGATATTATATGGCAGAGTGACAGGCCGAGCGCCGCCCAGTTGATATAATTCCATATTGAAAATCGTGTATATTTCTATGTAACCATATGTTTATTGTTTATGCAACCTGACATGACACGGATCTGTGCAAAATAGTAATACTAACTCAAAATAATAATAATATGTTATCAATTAGTCCCTAGCGGGATGCGTATATGGTGAAATTAACAATGTACTTGAACATTTCAGCACCGCGCGCCAACAATTGTTTAATTCAGATTTTCGCGCAAAATAACTTTGCGCAGGCAGACACGTGGGCGACACGTACGCAGGCACGCACGGTGGTCGGTCGCTCGCACGCACGGTCGCAAAGCTACCATATCCCAAAAAACCTCGATCGCTAACCCTTGTCCTTGACTCTTTTGTGCCTTCGGCACTTTGAGTCATGGATCGGGAAAAAATGCTCTTATTAGGGAAAGGAGATGGATAATGATTAATCACTCTACACTCGACTAGACTGTCACGTGACTTTTTTAACTCATTCTCTAGCTGGTTCTGAACGACTTTTCGAAACCCTAACCCTCTAATCTGATCCCAACCCAAACCTTAACCCAATCCTTAACAAAAACATATGCTGAAACCCTAACCCTAACGAGAAATTAGACTAACTTCCTTATACGGTCATATCACGTGATCGATACAGTTTTTCGCCAATATCTCGTCAGGAGAGCAGTTTAACCCTATGTCATGGGACATGGGGGGTAATTCGGAATCAGCGTCCGAAAATACATCTATTGAAGTTGGTTACAACCATCTGGGGCCCTTTTAGAACAATCTCGAAGATCGACTGTAGAGTGATTTAGCACGCTCGAAAGGAGATTACTCGACGTTTCAATGTAAGTGTAACTACGTCGTATTCATGATCTCAAATTATTTGTTATATAGTAGTGTTGAAAGTATTATTTTTAATACTTTCAACACTACTATATAACAAATAATTTGAGATCATGAATACGATGTAGTTACATTGAAACGTCGAGTAATCTCCTTTCCCTAATAAGAGCATTTTTACTTGTCGCAACAACCGGGATAATCATAAAGATAATTTTACACAGAATACATATATTAAAGTATATTAAAATGTAGGATTTTTTCCGATTTTGGCCCGGGGATATAGTGATATACTTTAATATACATTAATATGGTTGGCCCCCCCCCCAACTGTTAATGTTTTGGGTGAATTGTTTTCCTCCCCTACTTAAAAGACCGTCAGAAATAAGGGAATAGCCAAACTCACTCCCCTGCTGACCTATGACTTAACGTAAGAACCATAGATCTGCTTGATCTACGTACAGGGTGTTTCAAGACTCGTGTCAAAATTTTGAAAGGCCCTTAAAATCTAACAAATACCTTATCGGACCTTATTTGGACGGACATTACTTAAACGCTGGAGGCCCTAGCGTTCACCTTAATGTCCGTTCAAATAAAGTCCGTTCAATTAATGTCCGTCCAAGTTAAAGTCCGTTCAATTTTTTTCAAAAATTTTTTCATTTCGAACTTTTTTTCCAGAATATAACAACTTTTTAATTTCAGTCAATTTCAATAGCTATCATTAGACTAAACTATATCGTTGAATCAATAAAAACAAGGTATTATAAAATTTTAACAATCTGAATTGTAAATATCACATTATTGCATGATCACTATCTTGAAGTTGATCTTCGGCTTCTTCTATCTCCACATTTTCTCTTACAACTGGTTGCCTGTCCAACTCGTAGTCGTACCGGGCAATGAACGATCCCAACTGCTCTACTAGAGAGATACTTGAATGCCTAAAGTACAGCTTAAGCTTTATCTCTAGCCCCCCACTTGGTATATGCGACTTTCGGTGGCTTATGTCAGCTACGATACCTTCTACCATACCACCCATCTCGATAAAGTAGAAGACAAACCGGGATATATCCCTGCACGAAAACCCATTTGATGAAGAAGATATGTGATATTAGATAATGATCACGTACACATATTTTAACATTTTTACTGATTAATAAGACTGCTTTTCTTGCTTACTGTATGAAAAATGGATTGAAAAATCATTTGCTAAAATTTAAAAAACGTAAAAAAAAATTAAAAATATTCGGATTTTTGATGGTTTTGATTGCCTTCTAGCGTTCATATTAATGTCCGTTCATAATATGTCCGTTCAAGTAATGTCCGTCCAAATAAGGTCCGATAAGGTAGGTCAAACAGTTCGATTTTTGTTTTAAATTATAGATAAATTATTACATTTCAAAATTAACCCAAATATTTCATCAACTTTCCGAACCAAGCCCCTTTCCGGCATAACAGGTTTGGAACCCTCAAAATCAAATCATATAAGTACGTAATATAATAATGGTCGAATTGCAGGTGCTGGCAAAGTTCCAACACACTGCTTAACATCAGTATTACATTCCTATAATTGGAACAGTACCAGAACTTGACGGTTACATTTGTGATTGTCAGGTAAATTTTGTCGAAGCGATTTGAAGGGGGGGGGGGGGGGGGTGGGGGGGGCATGTATTATAGTTATACAGTATAGCGATTGCACTGTTTAATATGAGCCATGTATTATAGTGGTCTTCTTTAATGAACTTTATGACACGATATCGACTGATCCACCTTTTTTGCTTGCCAACACATCAAAACGTTTATGTTTTTAGAGTTATAGTCAGACTCAGATACCAAATTTATATCTATCTGCTTTATGTGGGTTGTGGACAAGTAAAAGGCAGTTATTTGAGTGAAGGTGCGTCAACAGTAAAATTGAAAATGTATAACAACTTTTAACTCACTTATAGTTATGACTCACGCACACCTTGTCACACGTTGTGTGATACAACGCACACCAACATTTCTTTAAACTCGCCTAACAGACTTAATCTATATAATAAATCATCTTCATATCTATACTGTAGACTCCTGTTGCTACAGGTGAGGGGGCGCTCCACCATTCTTTTTACACGTGCAACTTGCAGTTAACTGCACGTGCAACTTACAGTTGCAGCGTGTGAAAATAAACGAGCATCGCCGCTCCACGGGTAGTAACTACTTCCAAGCAGAGCTCTTTGACAAGCTCAATAAGGGCAATTAATTGATTAACTAATTAACTAATTAATATTGTTAATACTAAAATAATAGTACTCTTAAGTTAACCCTCTTTTAGTTCCCGTAAATCTCAGGGCTGATCTGTAACATTACCTTATATGGTAGTGTTACTATGGTAACCCCACCATATAAGGTAATGACATGTACTAACTACAATAATGCATGAGTATCTTAAGCTCTAGAGATTAGTAATAAAGTTCGGCTTATTCAAATATTCAAATATTCATATTGAATGAAGGGATCTAAATTTGGAAACACATTTTTAGAAGAAGAGCATTATAAAGGAGCAACATAAACTAATTACCTCCTCTAATCGCACTAATTAAATCAGGGCTAATTACTAATTAGTAGCAGAGTGTAGTAATCGACCAATCTTAAATCTAATTATGAAAGTGCACCAAGATAATATGTTCAAACTTTAGATTTCAAATATCAATGTAATAGCGAAAATTGATACAATAATTTCAGTTTCAATAAAAGAATGGAAAGTAATATTATGGAGTTTTAGAGGTTTGGAATTTATGCAGCTTGGAAAAACAAGCTTTAATAGGTAATTGTATCCAGTTTTAACAATGAAATAATACTGATATTTGCACTGTGTTACCATGGTAACTAATATATTACATGTCATAATACGTGCCCCTCTTATCCCGCATAAACTGTGATAAACACTTACACCGACTCTGTAGGTAGTACATATAACATTACCTTGTAAGGTAGTGTTACCATAGTAACAATACCATATATTATGGTAGTGTTACCATAGTAACATTACCTTATAAGGTAGTGTTACTATGGTAACAATACCATATACGGTAGTGTTACCATAGTAACAATACCATATACGGTAGTATTACCATGGTAACAATACCATATAAGGTAGTGTTACCATAGCAACAATACCATATAAGGCAGTGTTACCATAGCAACAATACCATACAAGGTAATGTTACCATAGTAACAATACCATATAAGGCAGTGTTACCATAGCAACAATACCATATAAGGTAATGTTACCATAGTAACAATACCATATAAGGTAGTGTTACCATAGCAACAATACCATATAAGGTAATGTTACCATAGTAACAATACCATATAAGGTAATGGTTATCACACCAAACAGACTCGCTACTCAAGTGTTTACCACATTGTATAGTAGTGTAGTTATATCGGCTACTAGAATATGTCACAAACAGAATGCAAATTTGTACATTCGTAACAAATAAAAAGTACACAAAGTTAAAAAGAAAAACTACATTAAACCACGTATAGATGTTAAAACTCAATATATTATATTCTTACACTTCAATCATATATAAGCTTGAAAATAATCGCACATTTGCTCTTATTATAATTGATCCGGGACATTTTGAAATGATGATTGTGGAACATGTTTTTTGAAAAATCATTGATGATAGTAATACAGTAATGTACTGAGTGAATTTCTGGACAATAATTACAGGATCTTTCTACAAAATTTATAACAAATCACCGAAACTTCAACTTTAACATATCGGACATTGTTTTCATTGATCTAACGCAGACAAGTTGCGCGCACAGAAACTGCACGTGCAGACAAGTTGCGCGCACAGAAACTGCTCGTGCAAAAAATGTGCGCATTGCAAACGCCGGGTATATTGAAATCAGATTTATTCTTCCCGTTTTTGAGTTTTACTTCCTCTTAATTATTTACATATTATAAGTCTGTTGCCAGCATTAATATCAAACACAACTTAATCATAGGACATATCATATTATCATATATCTCTCAAATAAAATCTTAAGTTAAACTCTTGAAATACGCTACCATTAAAATCAATATCTCGAACAGAAATCAATATTCTATAATTGCGAATAATAAAATGTTCACCATTGCCAGTATATACTGAGTATTTGAGTATATATCACAACATTCTCCCGAAATATATTCAATATCATGATAAACACACATATTATGTTACATATGTTAACATATTCTCAACACCATGTTTCTTAAGCTGCGGGCATCGCGTGACACTCGTATATTTACGTATATATTTATCAGTCTCCTTTCATCACTGCTCAATAAACCCAATGGCTTGGATTTCGTTTTCAAGCCTCTCAATTTCACTCTGAGTATCCTCGTCGAATTCTTTTATTCGCTGGAAAAAAGAGTCATGTTACCATGGTAACTAATATACTATTAGCTGGAAAAAAGAGGACATCTGATTAGAAAATAGTTATAAAAAGCTAGAGTTGCTAGCTGACATCTGATTAGGAAATAATTCATAAACGATAAGAATCATTTAGCTACAGAGATTATTGAATCAACAACATGATAAATTGATTAAATAACTGCTTGTTATACCGTTTTAGAATCTAGAAAATTATGATGAATCAAATAGCTGTAGGAAATAAATAATGTTTCAATCTACAATTTTAAATTGAGGTAACTGACAATAATCAGAATTACAACCAAATATCAAAATCTAGAGGCTATCCAATATGATAACAATTGTGTTACTATGGTAACTAGTAGTGTTAACATAGTAACATATCCAATATGATAACAATCTTTATGCTACCTGATGAAGTGAGTACCAAGAATGGAAGTAAGTGGCTTCAATAACGCGAACAGAATGATTTATTGGGGCAAAAAATTTGAGGTTAGATTTCACGAGTCTTTTTGGGCAAGAATACCCACTGGTGGGTGGAGGGGGGGGGGGGCGGGTGGGGAAGTGCTGCTTCTTTAATCGTATTAAAATTCCCGTGAGTTTCACGAGCAAATCACTTTCAATAGTTGCAGCTCCAATTTCGGCTGCACAGTAGTGTTACCATAGTAACTGGGCTGCACAGTTTACTCAATTACTGTTCAGAAGATTTTCCTTTTTTTAATCGGGAGAAATAGTGTGATACCTGACAATGTTAGAACAATGTCGGAACAATGTGAAATATGGGCTGGGGTGGTAACTATAGTAGTGTTACCATAGTAACTGGGCTGGGGTGGGCAGCCTTACTTGTCGCCATGAACTCGAGAGCAACACACATACCCACGCTTACCGCATCTAAGCTCAGTTGTGAACTTTCAAATTCACTTTCCATTACCTCAATGCGCTAGAAATGGTAAAGCAGTCCAAAAATCATTTCATTCCGGAAATTGACAGCCGAGTTCCGGAAATCGTTCAAAAATTACGCTATTTCTGATTCAAACTCCAAATTTCTGATCCAAACTTTGATCAAATCACACTTTCTTTGAACGCTCCCATCAGAAATAAGCGTTATATTTGAACGACCCCTAAAAAGCTAAATTCGATCATTTCATGAGCAACTAAAGAATAGCATTCCAAAAGAATTTTCAGAGTACGAACTGTAACATGCGTGTTAAAGACAAAGCTGCCTATTTTAATGATTACGTATTTAATTAGTTAATTAGATAATTAGTTTATTAATCACCTTGAGGTAGACTTGGCCCATGAGTTTCATCTGTTCCTTATGTTCGGCAACAACTTGCTCTCTTCGAATTTCTTGGTTCTTTGCCAGCTGAAGGGGATGTCATCGTAACAATCGTAAACATCTTCTTAATTAATACTTCTCCAAGTCAATATGAACATAATTTCGGACGACACTGCAGCTAGAAGGAGGGGGTGTGGGGACTTAATTAATCTAGGAGTTAGAAGGAGCTGGGGGGGGGGGCTTAATTAATCTAGGAGTTAGAAGGAGCTGGGGGGGGGGGGGGGGGAGGCTAAACTAATCTAGGAACTAGAAGGAGCTGGGGGGGGGGGGGACTAAATTAATCTAGGAGTTAGAAGGAGCTGGGGGGGGGGGGGGGGCTAAACTAATCTAGGAACTAGAAGGAGCTGGGGGGGGGGGGGGACTAAATTAATCTAGGAGTTAGAAGGAGCTGGGGGGGGGGGGGGGGGAGGCTAAACTAATCTAGGAACTAGAAGGAGCTGGGGGGGGGGGGGGACTAAATTAATCTAGGAGTTAGAAGGAGCTGGGGGGGGGGGGGGCTAAACTAATCTAGGAACTAGAAGGAGCTGGGGGGGGGGGGACTAAATTAATCTAGGAGTTAGAAGGAGCTGGGGGGGGGGGGGGGGGGGGCTAAACTAATCTAGGAACTAGAAGGAGCGGGGGGGGGGGACTAAATTAATCTAGGAGTTAGAAGGAGCTGGGGGGGGGGGGGGGGGGGGCTAAACTAATCTAGGAACTAGAAGGAGCTGGGGGGGGGGGGGACTAAATTAATCTAGGAGTTAGAAGGAGCTGGGGGGGGGGGGGGCTAAACTAATCTAGGAACTAGAAGGAGCTGGGGGGGGGGGGACTAAATTAATCAAGGAGTTAGAAGGAGCTGGGGGGGGGGGGGGGGGGAGGCTAAACTAATCTAGGAACTAGAAGGAGCTGGGGGGGGGGGGGGACTAAATTTATCTAGGAGTTAGAAGGAGCTGGGGAGGGGGGGGGGGCTAAATTAATCTAGGAGTTAGAAGGAGCTGGGGGGGAGGCTAAACTAATCTAGGAACTAGAAGGAGTTGGGGGGGCTAAATTAATCTAGGAGTTAGAAGGAGCTGGGGGGGGGGGGAGGCTAAACTAATCTAGGAACTAGAAGGAGCTGGGGGGGGGGACTAAATTTATCTAGGAGTTAGAAGGAGCTGGGGAGGGGGGGGGGGGGCTAAGCTAATCTAGGAACTAGAAGGAGCTGGGGGGGGGGGCTAAATTAATCTAGGAGTTAGAAGGAGCTGGGGGGGGGGGGAGGCTAAACTAATCTAGGAACTAGAAGGAGCTGGGGGGGGGGGGGACTAAATTAATCTAGGAGTTAGAAGGAGCTGGGGGGGGGGGGGGCTAAATTAATCTAGGAGTTAGAAGGAGCTGGGGGGGGGGGGGAGGCTAAACTAATCTAGGAACTAGAAGGAGTTGGGGGGGGGCTAAATTAATCTAGGAGTTAGAAGGAGCTGGGGGGGGGGGGGGGAGGCTAAACTAATCTAGGAACTAGAAGGAGCTGGGGGGGGGGACTAAATTTATCTAGGAGTTAGAAGGAGCTGGGGAGGGGGGGGGGGGGGCTAAACTAATCTAGGAACTAGAAGGAGCTGGGGGGGGGGGGGGGGGACTAAATTAATCTAGGAGTTAGAAGGAGCTGCGGGGGGGGGGGGGGGCTAAATTAATCTAGGAGTTAGAAGGAGCTGGGGGGGAGGCTAAACTAATCTAGGAACTAGAAGGAGTTGGGGGGGGGGGGGCTAAATTAATCTAGGAGTTAGAAGGAGCTGGGGGGGGGGGGGCTAAACTAATCTAGGAACTAGAAGGAGCTGGGGGGGGGGACTAAATTTATCTAGGAGTTAGAAGGAGCTGGGGAGGGGGGGGGGCTAAACTAATCTAGGAACTAGAAGGAGCTGGGGGGGGGGGGGACTAAATTAATCTAGGAGTTAGAAGGAGCTGCGGGGGGGGGGGGGGGCTAAATTAATCTAGGAGTTAGAAGGAGCTGGGGGGGGAGGCTAAACTAATCTAGGAACTAGAAGGAGTTGGGGGGGGGGGCTAAATTAATCTAGGAGTTAGAAGGAGCTGGGGGGGGGGGGGGGGCTAAATTAATCTAGGAGTTAGAAGGAGCTGGGGGGGGGGGCTAAATTAATCTAGGAGTTAGAAGGAGCTGGGGGGGGGGGAGGCTAAACTAATCTAGGAACTAGAAGGAGTTGGGGGGGGGGGGGCTAAATTAATCTAGGAGTTAGAAGGAGCTGGGGGGGGGGGGGAATAAATTAACCTAGGAACTAGAAGGAGCTGGTTGGGCTTAACGCAGCTAAATTGAAATTACTTTGTTAGATTGATTGTTGATTTCTCTTTCACAGCGTTCGTCCAACTGTCTCTTCTTCTCCGCTAATTCGTCCTTATCTTTTACTTCAGCTATCAGTTTCGCTAGCTGGTCCGCTTTTTTACCTTCTATTACTTTCATCTGAAATGAAATTAAATTATATTATGCCCATACAATATTGAAAAAAGAAAGATATCAATCAAACCGCTCTTATCTATTCCTAAATGTTTACACAATTCTATCGTTGAAAACATTTACCCTCCGAACTAGTTAAAGGAAAAAACAAATCTTTTTATTTTAACTAAATACGATCTATATGTCTATATTATATCTCTCTATCTCTAATTTCTATATCTACATCTACCCTATCTATATATCTCTCTTTCCAATGTTTTCTGATTATGTTACTGAAGATAGTAATGAAAATGTTTTAACACCTCAGTACTGTGTATTACTACAGCTCTTGAACCTAACCTGCTCAGTCTGACTAATTGGGAATTTAAACTCTATATTATATCTCTCTATCTATATTATAACTCTCTATCTATATTATATCTCTCTATCTATATTATATTTATCTATCTATATTATATCTCTCTATCTATATTATATTTATCTATCTATATTATATCTCTCTATCTATATCATATCTCTCTATCTATATTATATCTCTCTATCTATATTATGTCTCTCTATCTTTATTATATCTCTCTATCTATATATCTACATCTACCCTATCTATGTATCTCTTTTTCCAATATTTTCTGATTATGTTACTGAAGATAGTAATGAAAATGTTTTAACACCTCAGTACTGTGTATTCAGTATTACTACAGCTCAACCTGCTCAGTCTGACTAATTGGGAATTTAAACTCTTGATTATATCTCTCTATCTATATTATATCTCTCTATCTATATTATATCTCTCTATCTATATTATATCTCTCTATCTATATTATATCTCTCAAGAGTTTAAATTCCCAATTAGTCAGACTGAGCAGGTTGAGCTGTAGTAATACACAGTACTGAGGTGTTAATACATTTTCATTACTATATTCAGTAACATCCTGAATCAGAAACTCGGTTAATATCAGTTCCTACAAAGTGTATATAGTAACATTGGAAATGAAATGACACAACTAAAAACGATATGAATATTTAAAAAAAAAATAACTCTTGTGCCCCAATGCAATAGAAAACCTTCAAGATAAATCCAATTATGGAATCCCAAACGGGTCCATGGCATTGAGCCCCAATGGACGTATAGTTCTTAGTTTCTGAATATAACGTGGTGTTCATCCACTTCTAGAGTTCTTGGGCTACTATTACTGAGAATTGACACTTTATAAGCCTGGTTGAAATTGTCACGTTGTTTCATATTATGAACTTCTACAAGGTGTTTGCCCAAGCTGAATCCGTCGTCGTTTTCTTCAGGGACAAACGTATTGTCCGAAATGAGTTTGTAGTAATGGGCGGTATGTTCGTTTACTCGTGCCCTGAGGGGCTGGACCGTTCTTCCTACATAACACATATTACAAAGTTGGCAACTGAAGAGGTATACAACATTGTAGCTGACACATGTACCAGACACTGCTTTGGCTCGCTGTCCATTGGCTGTTATTGATGGATGTGGAGATATGATGTTACAGGTACTGCAGTGTCTGCCCCCACATGGTCTTGTGTGAGGTTAGGTTAAGTCATCCGCAAACTGTTTTGCTTTGACTAACTTCCTTCTAAAAGATGTTCCAGTACGTCTGACGAATTTGAAGATAGGGCGTGATGTACCGGCTCTAGATGATATTGGGGAGCCTAGGGTGTTTCCACTTGTATGGGAACCAGATAATCCTGAGAAGCTCCTGGTTCTACTGAGTTCTGGTTACAATCGTTGTACCGATTCTACTAACTCTTGATCGCTGCCAAATGTCTATCTATATTATATCTCTCTATCTATATTATATCTCTCTGTCTATATTATGTCTCTCTATCTATATTATATCTCTATCTATATTATATCTCTCTATCTATATTATGTCACAATGACTGAAGAATAAACCGATACAAGATCACTCGGATAGACGAATGGTTATATTTATTATTCATAGATGAAATAAAACAAAACAAACTGAATAGTTTGGTAGTAAGTAGAAAAAACAAGGAAGCACTCTAGGATAAGATAAATGGAAAAGATGATCCATGTTCAGAACTTACCCCCGATTTTCTCTGATAAAGTTTAAACTGGTTAAAACTTAATATTCAATAAGAGTTAACAATATCATATTATGTGAATATCACCCGAGTAGAGTATCATATATATTCAATAACTTTCCGGGGGGGGGGGGGGGGGGGGGGGGGGGGGGGAGGGGGGGGGTCCCCCTTAATCATAATAAATAATTGTATATTACCCGAGTAGAGTATCATCTATATTCAATAACTTTCCATTAAGGGGGCCGGGGGGGGGGGGGTCCCCCTTGATTATAATAAATAATTGTATATTACCTGGTCGGCCAGCTCGTTCCTCTGGTAAAGCTCGAATCCTGCAAACTGGGCTTCGTGTGCTTCCTTCTTAATCTTCTTGTACATCTCGTGGTTCTCCTTCATTTCCTTCCTGTCGTGAGTAAACTTCTCGCTCTTATGGATCTTCTCCACTCGGAAAGCTTCGCTCTTATGTTGCAGTGTCAAGTTGTTAACCTGTTATTACACATGTTACTATGGTTACCAGCAAGTTGTTAGCCTGACCAGTGACAAGGTGGGTTATTACACATGTGATCAACTATCTGGTAACCATGGTAACGGTCTCTACTCAGGTGGTTATTAATTTGCTGGTTCTTGTCTTATTAATATATATATTATTAGATTAAAGAAAACCTTAAGAAATTATATAAAAGTAATGACTATTAGAATAAGTATAAGATTATATAACGCGATAATATTATCGTACTTCTTTAGCTTGCTTCTCGTCATGCTTCTTGATAAAGGCATCGAACTGTTCTTTGGTATCACTGAAGTGCATCTCAGTTAGAAGAGGTAATGGAATATTTATACAGCTGATAGCTTGAAAATCATGCTCAATATCGGTCAATTTGCATTTACGGATCAGGAAGTTGTGATTGATTTGAATTGAGTTTACAGATCCTTATTACACGAAATAATTAAGTTATCAATTCATCAACCAACATAAATCAGACAGGAAGAAAAGGGACTGTCAATTGCAATATTGAATCAGCAGAATGTGCTGGTAACCATGGTTACCAGCAGAATGTGTTTTAAAATCAGATCTTGTTTGAATGATAACTTATTTCGTGTAACAAGGTGATATTAATCGAATATCACAGACAAAGTCACTACATGCAACACATGCACAAATTACGCTATTCCTCTGTCCCTTAGTATATAATGCAGTTTAAAGATATTTCCTTGTGTTTGATTACTCGTCCTACTCAGGGTATAGCTCCAAGCAATGACGTGCTGTGTCGTGCTGTATCAATCTCGATATTTCACGGGCTTCAAAAATACGAGGCTTCCAATTAATCTTACAGCTAACAGAGAGACTACAAGAAGTAGTGAGTAGTCGTAAACACTACTAATAAAGTAGTAGTAATTAACAAATTAGGTTATTCAGGAGCTGCAAGCAGCAAAGTTATTACAATGCACTGTTGCATTGTTGCCTGGCAACAGTTTCTCATCAACTGGTGTCTAGAACAATGATAGTCTGTAAGGAGTAAAAGCTACACCATAGGATATTGAGATGAGGTGCTTAAAATGGTGTTTGTAAAACTAACTTAACATTTATTAATTAATTATAACATGAAGATTTGTTCCGCATCGGTAATTCTGCTCTTTACATACGAATAACTTACTCAAATTTTAAACAACTTTTAACGTCGCGGCAAGTGCATCGGTCAAGTAATCTACAACAGTACTTGTCAAATGATCTATAATCATATTTACTTACCTATTTAGTCAATTGTAAGTTAGAGTTACACGTGATGCCCATATAAGGAGTTATTATCCTGTACTCATTAAAACTGTCGTTAGTATTACCTGATTAACCCGCTGTACCCCTAGTACCTAGTACTTAGTACTTAGTACTTAGATCTAAGTACTTAGTACTTACTACTAAGTACTTAGTACTTAGTACTTAGAACTTAGTACTAAGTACTCAGTACTTAGTACTTAGAACTAAGTACTTAGCACTAAGTACTTAGAACTTAGTACTTACTACTAAGTACTACTAAGTACTACTAAGTACTAAGTACCTAGAACTTAGTACTTAGTACTAAGTACTTAGTACTTAGTACTTAGTACTTACTACTAAGTTCTTAGTACTTAGTACTTAGTTCCTAGTAACAAGTACTTAGTACCTAGTAACTAGTACTTAGTACTTAGTACTAAGTGCTTAGTACTTAGTAGTAAGTACTTAGTACATAGTAGTAAGTACTCAGTACTTAGTACTTAATACTTAGTACCTAATGCTAAGTACTTAGTACTTAGTACTAAGTAACAACGTACACGCAACAACGTACACGCAACAACGTGCACGCAACAACGTACACGCAACAACGTGCACGCAACAACGTGCACGCAACAACGTACACGCAGCAACGTGCACGCAGTAACGTGCACGCAGTAACGTGCACGCTTGAGTGACGTGACCTTACACTGAGCCTACCTGTCCATGTACAAATGTTTAGTTTTCCCCCTCAAACGCCGACAACACATCACACCTTGATTGTCGTCAGTATTGTGTCCGTCATTATCATGTCCGTCATTATTGTGTCCGTCCGTACTGTCTCCGTCATTATTGTGTTCGTCATTATTGTGTCCGTCCGTACTGTCTCCGTCATTATTGTGTTCGTCATTATTGTGTCCGTCCGTACTGTGTCCGTCCGTATTGTGTCCGTGAGGAGTCGAATTAACAGTGACCGGTAGTTTGTTTAGTTCTGCATGTTTGTTAGTCGAGGTATCGGAGGACTTACAGCGATAATCTTTCCGTTTTCTACTGTAAAGCAAAGTATTATGTATACTATATCTCTACATTATATACAATAGTTCAGTATAGTATAGTATAGTATAGTATAGTATAGTATAGTACAGTACAGTACAGTACAGTACAGTACAGTACAGTACAGTACAGTACAGTACAGTACATTATAGTACATTATAGTATAGTATAGTATAGTATAGTATAGTATAGTATAGTATAGTATAGTATAGTATAGTATAGTATAGTATCGTATAGTATAGTATAGTATAGTATAGTATAGTATAGTATAGTATAGTATAGTATAGTATAGTATAGTATAGTATAGTATAGTATAGTATAGTATAGTATAGTATAGTATAGTATAGTATAGTATAGTATAGTATAGTATAGTATAGTATAGTATAGTATAGTATAGTATAGTATAGTAGCTTAGGACTTTACTAGATAAACGTGTATGGAGGCCATCAGGCCAGGGCTGACAATGAAATACATATATTGCATGCAAAAATAGCATGAATCGGTAAACATTATGATAAAATACGCTCAATATACATCTAACATAACATAGTTACTAGTTACTAATTACTTGTTACTAGTTACTAGTTACTAGTTACTAGTTACTAGTTACTTAGTTACTAGTTACTAGTTACTAGTTACATTTTAGCTACGATTACAGGCTCATTAGTGCAGCGCTATCATTCTGCTAAAATCAAAATGTGATTTTTATGATTGTGTGGAGCAAATTAGAAATTAAATAATTAATTAATTAATTAAATAATCGGATAATTAGGAAAATTTCACAGCATGCAAGAAAATCAAGAATCACAGAATACATAAAAAGACATGCCACAAGTAAATACAAGTAACTACATGTAACACTGTAATTCACCCTTATTAAAAAACCTCGTTAAAAGACAAAGTTGCTTTGTCAGCAAATAACATGCACCCTAATCATATGATACCATCAGTTACCATGGTAACACCATAATACCATCAGTAAACACACACAAATATTGCAGCGAAAGACATTTTAATCAACAGTGATTGTAGCCCAGTAACTACTGCATGAAACAAAATGAAATGTGATTTGTCATTTGATTTGTCATTTGATTTGTCATTTGATCTGCCATTTGAATTGTCATTTGACTTGGTACGTGATTTGTCATTTGATTTATAATAAAGTTCGTCATTGAATTTGTCATTGAATTTGTCATTGAATTTGTCATTGAATTTGTCATTGAATTTGTCATTTAATTTGTCATTTAAATTGTCATTTAAATTGTCATTTAATTTTTCAGTAAATTTGTCATGTGATTTGTCACGTATGTAATCACGTGATTTCATGATTTGTAATGTGATATGTTCCAGGCAGTAGTAACGGGTGATAACAGAGATTACGAGCATTAAGCATGATTACCTTGTTACCATGGTAACAAGGTGTTATTAAGCATTATAATATCCCTACTCTTTGCAGTTAAAGTCAAGCCCTTTACTGAGCGCCGGATCTGTTACGGAAACACAAAATGCTTTACGTCCGAACCTAGACCAATAACATGATTAATTAAATAATTAGGGTAATTAGTTAATAGGGCCGGGCCTATTAGTTGATTACAAATAACTTAAAATTTCATCAGCTCATTGTAATCAGGGCTCTAGTCGTTGTTGCAATTTGTGGCAGCGTTCAGTTAATACTTTGACAAATCGTCAGAGAGTCAGAGGGTCAGTCGTGTGTAATAAAGTAATAACATGTTTACCATGGTTACTGTATAAAATGTAGATTCAGCTTTTTTATTCTACTATTCTACAATGTTTCGATGTAAACATTCAATTATTATTCCTCATAGTCATAAGCTATATAAGCTATGTAAGGGATTATTGGATAAGGGCCAAGTTTTATTGATCAGCCATTCAAGCGGGATATGCTACCCTTCAGAGCTTACGGGGCGTTCATTCTTTTCATAATTAGTCATAATTACCTAATTATAAACCCATTAGGTGACTTAATGTACATTTGCAGCATTTCCCACGCTTCATATCACATGAACATACCAAATCACACACACTTTCTTTTTCATCGCACATCACAAGAGATTACAGTAGCCCAGGACATCCTTTCCAAAATAATCACCAGTTTTTTAGCCAATTTTGAAAATAAAGCTTATCTAAACAATTGGAGGCCTCCACTCCTTTACAAAATCTGTTATCTTATTTGGCAAGTAGCTGTGTCGCGTAAAAAATGGGAAGATAATACGGGCAATTCCTTAGTCCTCACCCTACTAAATGTAGCTAGGAATGCTTTGACGCGAGATTTTATTGAACCTTAAATAAACATGCAATTGTGCGATTTTAGTGCCAAAAATTTGTGCTGAAGGCTGATATTCTAATGGACCATGGTTACTGGTGAAACGGCATTAAAATAGGGATGTCCTGGGCTATGGTCGAAAAACATGAACAAAGAGTCCCAGATTATATACATTCTCAATATATACATATGCGACTATAGCATACAATGTTTCTGCGTCTGAAGAACTCTTCCCTCGCTTTCTGGAAAACAAACTGTAAACTTGTTAGTCAGAGTGTTTAACACAATGATAACACCATGGTAACACCAAGGTAACACCATGATAACACCATGATAACACAATGGTAACACCAAGGTAACACCATGATAACACCATGATAACACAATGGTAACACCATGGTAACATCAAGGTAACACCATGACCATGATAACACCATGGTAACACCATGGTAACACCATGATAACACCATGATAACACCATGGTAACACCATGATAACACCATGGTAACACCATGGTAGCACCGTGATAACACCATGGTAACACCGTGGTAACACCATGGTAACACCATGGTAACACCGTGATAACACCGTGATAACACCATGGTAACACCATGCCATGGTAACACCATGCCATGGTAACACCATGCCATGGTAACACCATGCCGTGGTAACACCATGCCATGGTAACACCATGCCATGGTAACACCATGCCATGATAACACCATGCCATGATAACACCATGGTAACACCATGATAACACCATGGTAACACCATGTTAACACCATGGTAACACCGTGATAACACCATGGTAACACCATGGTAACACCATGGTAACACCATGGTAACACCGTGATAACACCATGGTAACACCGTGATAACACCATGGTAACACCATAGTAACACCATAGTAACACCATAGTAACTACATGGCAACGAGTAAATTAGTCAACCTGTTATTCGGGGAGGTTAACTGTCAAAATTTAGGTAATTGCAATTAATTAATTATAACATGGTGATTGGCTGACTACTAACTAAATCTAGCAAACACTCCGCAGTAGTTTCACCAGAATAGTCCGTGTAAAGTACAATACACTGTGTAAAGTGTAAAGTGACTACTTACCGCACATTACCACACATTTCCCTATATTATAAGCCTATAGTTCACTTACAATACATTGTCTGTAGTCGGGTTATTTTTATTGTTCGTCAAAAACGTTTTATAAAATTCAACTTCATAAATATGATTACTGACTTCTCGTAATTAACCGACTGAAATTCAGGAAAATTAGATATTAAAAAAAGCTCACCCAGGTTTCCGAGCCTTCTCTTGTGCTTTTATCTGGTTTGCTCGCAGTACCTGGTTCTCTTTTAGCAATTTATCCATTTGACCTTTTTGCGATTTTTGCAGCATTTGCTTTTCCTGAAAGTAAATTATCTCGGTTAGTTAAAGATATTTCAACTCAGTCATGTGGTTGTAAAACTTCTAATTTTTACAAAAATTTGCTGAAACGAAATAGGAATATTCAGGAATACTCAGGGATATTCAGTAATATTTAGAAATATTCAGTATTATTCAGTAATATTCAGTAATATTCAGGAACATTCAGGAACATTCAGTAATATTCAGGAACATTCTGGAATATTCATAAAATAAAATGAGAATCAGCATACCTTCTCTTGGTTCTTCTGAATATCTTGATTCTTTTTATCTTGCTTTGAATAATACTTTAGCCACGCCTGACACAAGATGTTTATAAATAAATAGCATAACAACACAATTTAATGTCATTGTATTGGATTTATAAAGCGTTATATTGTCATATCCTTTGTTTAAGAAGTTGAATTGTAATGACTATTTCCAAACCTTTCCTTTTTTGATGCTTTCCTCGGTGATTTCATTCCAGTCAACACCCTGGATCTCTGTATAATGTTTAAATTAGACAAATTGGGTAAAATATGACAAATTCAAAATATATTATATATGCGGTAAATGAACAGTGAAACCGATTATTTAACATAATATGACAAGATGTGTAAAATACTGTGATAAACTGTGACACGTGATCTATAAATTGTGTGTCTTTGTGTAGTAGACTAGTAGTGTCCTAGTGAAAGGAGTTCTTACCTCTGAGTCTAACCCTAACCCAAACCACTACTAGACTATTTACTATGACAACCACACCCCAACCCTACATCTTTTTAACCCAACACTAATCTAAACACTTCGGACCAGGGTGTTATAATCTGAGAGGTAAAAACCTTTTACCCCTAATAAGTGCCTTATATAACAGTATAACTAGTATATTAGGAGTAAAATATGTTTCTGTGAATATTTAAATAAAATCAACAGATTACAGTGCAAAAAAAATCAGACATTCTGACTTTAGAGAAGGAAGAGAGAGAGAGAGAGGCGTTACGATGGTTACCATGACTGTAGAGACGCGCTCACGACGATCTACCACGAATATCAAGAGAAACAAAAGATATTAACCAAGATACAGGCAAAGTAACCAAGTAACAAGAGTAGTAGCACTGCTAGTTATAGTTAGTTTATACTAACTACACTACAGTACTACACTACTTTACACTACTACAGTACTACAGTACTACTATTAGTGTAGAGCTGGGCGAGCAATAATTATTGTTTCAAGGGACCTTGAATCTCTTGAGTTTTTCAAATGCGAAATCGAAGGTGTCTACTGTCTAGGTCATTCTGAATTGTCTTCAATTTTGGTTATTCTGTCAATTACATGTTAAACATACATATGCAGTTAATTAAAACAAGCTAAAAGAGAGAAAATACAATTGTAACCATGGCAACTAGAGAAAATACAATTGTACAACCTCAGAAGTAAGAATGATTTAATTTAAAAGCTCAAAAAAGCCAGCACTAATTTTGAACAAGCTAGATAGGTAACCAGTCACGTGGTATGACGTCTTGTCACGTGATATTACGTCTTGTCACGTGGTATGACGTCATGTCACGTGGTATGACTGGTTGCTAGGGAACCAGCTGAGAGCACAGACCTATAGTGACGGACTTGTCCTGGATGTGGCGCGGAACTGGATTATTAGTTACACGATTGATGCGGTGGTTGCAATTGTTGTTAGTGTGACAGAAACAACGCTTGCCTCTTCGACAGTTCACCTGAGTGTGTCAGGAGATCAGTGCCTAGTTACCATGGTAACACCTGGCCTGGGAGACAGAAAGTGGAACTGATACTCAAAAGCGAAACTAATTGCGAACCGAAAAGCGAAACTAATTGCGAACTGAAAAGCGAAACAATAAAACTAAAAGCAAGCCCCCTAGTTATCTTATTATCAGCGAACAAGCATACGGTGTATTTAACGGCGAACTCAACAAAAAAGCAAATGAAGTGAAACAGTAAAAGTGAGAAAAAGCTGAAGTCTCAAACATTAGAAAGTGATTTTACATCGGTGAAAAGAGATGATAATGCCTTAAAAATGACACTGATGTAGTGAAGTGATGATATTACATTGAAATTAACAAAACCCCTTACTGGGCAGCATTCTCTCGTCATCAGCGGGCACATCGTCGACAGGCAGGTCCCAGGGTAACACAGGAGCAGTACTCTTAGGTTTCCCTGCTTTGTCGTCCGTAACAAGCTTTGCACTGTCGTCTCCCACATACAAACCACCCACAAACTCTTCCTTAGGCTTAGGGTTCTTGTCTGGCACGGCGCCAGCTTTAGGCTGCACGTTAGTGAACGTTTCCAGCCCGGTGATGACAATAGCTGCCTGTTTGGGGGGAGCTGGTGCACTGGCAACTGGAGCAGCGTTAGGATTGTCACGACCCTGGGGGCACGACGGGTAAACCAGCGAACAAGCGAGAGAAGTGACATTATGTGAGAGAAGTAGGTAGTAACCATGGTAACTGTACAGGTGATGCTGCCTGGTAACCATGGTTAGTAGGTACCAAGGGTTAACAAGCACAATATTCAAATGTTAAGCCAAAGAGTTGAAGTTTTAGTGATCAGCGGGAAATCTAAATACTCTAGAAGCAGAGTGCAGTTACATATTACTGCACCCTGCAGAGTGTAGCTACACCCTGCAGAGTGCAGCTATACCCTGCATAGTGCAGCTACACCCTGCAGAGTGCAGCTACACCCTGCAGAGTGCAGTTACACCCTGCGGAGTGCAGTTACACCCTGCAGAGTGCATCTACACGCTGCAGAGTGCAGTTACACCCTGCAGAGTGCAGTTACACCCTGCAGAGTGCAGCTATACCCTGCAGAGTGCAGTTACACCCTGCAGAGTGCAGTTACACCCTGCAGAGTGTAGTTACACCCTGCAGAGTGCAGTTACACCCTGCAGAGTGCAGTTACACCCTGCAGAGTGTAGATACACCCTGCAGAGTGTAGATACACCCTGCATAGTGCAGCTACACTCTGCAGAGTGCAGTTACAGCCTGCAGAGTGCATCTACACGCTGCAGAGTGCAGTTACACCCTGCAGAGCGCAGCTACACCCTGCAGAGTGCAGCTATACCCTGCAGAGTGCAGTTACACCCTGCAGAGTGTAGATACACCCTTCTACTCCAGTAAAATACAGGTGAGCAGGAAGCTCTTACCCTGACTCTTCTGTTTCTCCTGTTGTTAGTGGTCTGAGCGGATGCTGGTTTAGCCGCGTCTAAAGCTTTCGCTTCTGCTGCTGCAACAGCTTCAGGGTCTATCAGATCCTCCTGGTCCACTAGTGTAGTCAGCATGTCCTCTCTGCGCTTCATCAAATCATCCTGAAGAAATAGGTTTAAATACCTTGGTAACACATGCCTAGTTACCATGGTAACACATACCTTGCAATTAGTCAACCAGTCGGTAAAAAAAGTCTAGTTTATAGCTAGCTAAAAGTAATTTAAAAAGAAGAAACTTAAACTAAACCTAGAATTAGAACTAGAATTAGAACTATAAGCTAAAACGAGAATCTAGAATAAGAAACTAGAATCTAGAATTAGAAACTAAACCTAGAGTCTAGAATTAGAAACTAAAACTAGAATCTAGAATTAGAAACTAAAAATAGAATCTAGAAACTAGAACCTAGAACTAGACACTAGAAACTAGAACCTAGAACTAGACATTAGAAACTAGAACCTAGAAAGTTAACTCTTACCTTTGACAAATGAGCGATAGGGTCGACGAGAGCGTTAGCAAAGTCAGCCATCTCGGAGGGAATGTAGTCTTTAACGTCTATCTTAACGAACAGAGAGGCCATTCCTGGTGGGTGGGAGCTATTAATCTCACTGATTAAAAAGTGTATTGCTTTGTTGAAATGGGTCTCCATGGTTATCTCTCTTAGTAACCCTCACTACCAACCAATATTAGGTACAGTTAGGAATCATTCATTATAAAGTGATTACACAGATCCTGTAGTCCTAATCAAAGTGATTGGAAATTACACATGAACTAAACGTGAAATGAGAAAGTGAGTTCTACAATAGTGACCCTGAAAGTTAACTGGCTAATCAGACAAATGAAAAGCTTCAGTAGTCAGCAGTTATTTTGAGGGTAGCCCTGTACTTCAATCAAATCAGATTGATTGCTCTAACTAAGAAATCCTGACAAAGAAAGCTGTCCCTCCGCAAGCACCCCTCCAAATCCCGTTTAATATTGACAAAATGGGTGGTGAATAAAACATGGCGCTGGGTTTAGACGAAAATAGCTGTGTTTTAATCAACGTTTTCAAAATGCCCATATATAGAAGGGATAGAAAGGCCATTTTGGTTTTCAATCAACGTTTTCAAAATGCCCATATATAGGAGGGATAGAACGGCCATTTTGGTTTTCAATCAACGTTCTCGAAATGCCCATATATAGGAGGGATAGAATGGTAATTTTGGTTTTAGTCGACGAATGTAAATTAGTAAATTAACTGTAAACATACCGATAGGAATATTGAAATCATTCCTCAAGCTGATGAACCGGTAACCACTCTGGATACTCTCCATAGGGATAATCCTCTGTCCGATCATCTTTCCAGCGTCGTCATTAACAATAAATCTCATCATCGCCAAATCAGGGATCACAATCTGAGAGTAATACCGTCGTTATCAACTGCTTGGAAAAATTGGCAGCTATATTTGCCAAGCCGTTTGAAGACTTATCGTCTTTCCTTAAAACTTAAATAGCACTAAGCACTATTACCGTTTAATTCCAGGTAAAACTGTAGAGTATACATTACATAACCTTTAGTAACCATGGTAACACATTACCTTCGAGAAGACGAATGGATCCTCGTTGTCCCAGCGGGGGCAGATACTGTTGTTAATAGTTTTAGTAACCAAGTAACCAGTTCTAGTTACTATAGTAACCAGTTCTAGTAACCTAGTGACCAGTTCTAGTTACTGTAGAAACCAGTTACAGTAACCTAATTACCTTTGCGAAGACGAAGGGGTCCTCGTTGTCCCAGCGGGGGCAGATACTGTTGTTAATAGTTTTAGTCTGATGTTTCCTCCTCACAGAGTCATTAGCAATTCCGTACATCTCCAGCTCCACCTTCACTCCGCACTTCTTATCGCTCAGAAACTGTCCTGTAGATTCAATTCTATCACTCACCCCATTTACCACAAACCCTGATTTACTGCGACTGTATTCTCTCCCAAACCCCGATTTACCGCGACTGTTATCTCTCCCCGGGATTTTAATGTAATATGATCGTGCGACTAACATATTATGTAAGACTGAAAAAATGGTCGGCAAGTGTTTCGTCCGTCAAGGTGTCGTTGTTATACAATGTGTTGTTTTAAATGACAGTGTTATGTCATTATTTAACTAAACCATACCAGATAAGACGTGGTAACCATGGTAACTACATACCAGATAAGACGTGAACTTTGAGCTCCGCTGCGACCACACCCTCTACTGACATTTCCAAGAAGGGGTTGAAGGTCGTCTGAGTTTTAGTCATGAAGTCGGGTTTTAGGAGGTACCCCGTCTTATTGTTAAACTCAAACTTTCCTGTGAAATAAAGCTTAGTTAGCTTACAGTTAGGTTACAGTATTGTTATTACAATAGGAAGATTAGTTGCAGATGTTCGTTTGGGGACTGGTTTATTTGCCAGTCAATGTTTGTTTACGAATATAATAACTTTATTACATAATTATAAATGTATATTTTAATGAATGTGTTCCTTGTCTACACAAATTAAGGGAAAGTACCAATATTAAGCTGCATGGGCATGTCGAGTGTTTGGAAGTTGAGTGCCACCATCTGACATCCAGTGTTCCAGAACATCTGGGGCTGGTAGTTATCTGAGGCTACTCTGGCACCTGGGAATATGGCAGGTTATTAGGTAGTTAGTTTAGTTAATACTTTAATAATATACTTTAATAACTGAGAATAAGTTTTCTAATAAATGGATATAATAACAAGAAATGCGGCCGCTTTTCTTTTGTGGATGGCCGCTCAATTTCCCGATCCGTGATGGCGTATTTATCATATTCCATACAACCTGGGGACGGCCCAGTCTTTATTATTTATATAAACATGCAAATATGGCGAAGTGACATGCCGACTGCCGAGCGCCGCCCAGTTAATATAATTCTATTTTGAATTTGAAAATCGTATATATTTCTATGTAACCATATGTTTATTGTTTATGCAGCCTGACACGGATCTGTGCAAGATATATATATAAATAGTACTACTATACTAACTCAAAATAATAATAATATGCTATCAATTAGTGCCTAGTGGGATACGTACATGATGAAATTAATAATGTACTTGGTTGGTTCAGCGTCGCGCGCCAACAATTATATAATTCAGATTATCACATAAAATAACTTTGCGCAGGTAGTCACGTGGGCGATAACAGTGCGCGAGGGCACGTATGTACGCTCGCACGCACGCTCGCACGGTCGCAAGCTACCATATACAAAAAAAACCTCGTTCACTAACCCTTGTCTTTGACTCTTTTGTGCCTTCGGCACTTTGAGTCATGGATCGGGAAAAAATAACTTGTATTATTGGTATAACCTTTAGGGTAGATCCTGCTGACTTCTCTCTTGTTGTAATTAACGTTATTAGTTAGTTAGTTTAGTTAAAATAACTTGTATTATTGGTATAACCTTTAGGGTAGATCCTGCTGACTTCTCTCTTGTTGTAATTAACGTTATTAGTTAGTTAGTTTAGTTAAAATAACTTGTATTATTGGTATAACCTTTAGGGTAGATCCTGCTGACTTGTCTCTTGTTGTAATTGACGTTATTAGTTAGTTAGTTTAGTTAAAATAACTTGTATTATTGGTATAACCTTTAGGGTAGATCCTGCTGACTTGTCTCTTGTTGTAATTAACGTTATTAGTTAGTTAGTTTAGTTAAAATAACTTGTATTATTGGTATAACCTTTAGGGTAGATCCTGCTGACTTGTCTCTTGTTGTAATTAACGTTATTAGTTAGTTAGTTTAGTTAAAATAACTTGTATTATTGGTATAACCTTTAGGGTAGATCCTGCTGAGTGCTGACTTGTCTCTTGTTGTAATTAACGTTATTAGTTAGTTAGTTTAGTTAAAATAACTTGTATTATTGGTATAACCTTTAGGGTAGATCCTGCTGACTTGTCTTTTGTTGTAATTGACGAACTCCACTGGGTTCTCCTTCAAGTGGTTCAGAGCTGCTGTTTCCACAAACGAGGACATCTCATAACTCACATTCTTCTTAGCTGCCTGGTCAAACCCTGAAATTTAATATTTATTAGTTACTAGTTACTAGTTACTAGTTACTAGTTACAAGTTACTAGTTACTAGTTACAAGTTACTAGTTACAAGTTACAAGTTACAAGTTACTAGTTACTAGTTACTAGTTAATAGTTATTAGTTACTAGTTACTAGTTACTGGTTACTAGTTACTGGTTACTAGTTACTAGTAACAATTAAAACAGTATAATTAAGTAACAATTAAAACAGTATAATAATAATATGAATATAATAATATAAGTTGTAACCTCTGAATTTGGGGGCCGGCATGATGTAGTTAACAAGTTTCGAGAGAGAAGTTTCAGCTTCCTCCTCGCGATCTTCCCAAGACTGCAGGTAATTATATTGTTACATAATTATGTAATTATATTGTTACATAATTGCATAATTTAGCATTAATTCCGAGATAAACTAGCTAATTAATGGAGAGTAGGTATACAGATTACTGGATATAACAGCGGCTGAAGGAGTATTTACAAACTGCTAGTAAAGTAGTAAAGTAGTGAAGTAGTAAGTAAATGTAACAAGATAACACTTGAAACTGATATGAAGACACCCAATTTGAACTGCAGCCCAAAAATAGGCCCTATTTCCGCATATAAAGGTGGTAATTTCCGGCTATTTTTGCATAAAAGTGGTGGTAATTTCCGGCTATTTCCGCAATTTCGGGCAATTTCCGCATTAGAGGGTGCATTCATATCAGAAATAAAAGATAAAATTAATAATAGTTTAGAGTTTTTAAGACTAGTTTACCGAGTGTAATAGCCTCATTCCAATTATACACAGCAAGGTTATATCTAAAATCAGACAAGACCGTGCAACAGAACAGGTAGATTATTGTAGTAAAGTGATTAAGGGGGCCGGGGGGCAAGACAGGTAGAGTATTGTAGTAAAGTGATTAAGGGGGCCGGGGGGGGGGGGGGGAGGTAGAGTATTGTAGTAAAGTGATTAAGGGGGCCGGGGGAGGGGGGGGGGGGCCCCTTAAGACTAAACTACAATAATATCTAGCTGGTAGATAGATAATAAGACCCTCATGCCACATAACATAACATAATTAGTATGTTTTTATCACTGATTATTAGTAGATAGTTAGTTTAATTAGATTGTGTCCTCATGCCAGCGTTGTGATTGTCGTTTTTATCATACTGTGTATACTATGTATCAAAGTGACTCTCATTATTTAGTATTGACAAAATGATTAAAAAACTATATTTATTCACTTCGAATAAAATCCCACGATAAAAAGTCCCCGTTTTCATAATGCAACCACATCTAAATATGATTATGCATGAATTATGCATTAATCTACAAAACAATTATAAGATAATTATGCACTAATCTATAAACTAATTATGCAATAATCAAACACTAACTATTCGTTAATTATACACTAATTGTACATTAATTATACACTAATTATGCGTTAATTATACATTAATTGTACATTAATTATACACTAATTATACAATAATTATGCACTAACCATACATTAATTATACACTAATTATACATTAATTATGCACTAACCATACATTAATTATACACTAATTATATACTAATTATACATTAATTATACATTAATTATACACTAATTATACAATAATTATACATTAATTATACACTAATTATACAATAATTATGCACTAACCATACATTAATTATACACTAATTATACAGTAATTATACACTAATTATAAACTAATTATACACTAATTATACACTAATTATACACTAATTATACATTAATTATACAATAATTATGCACTAACCATACATTAATTATACACTAATTATATACTAATTATACATTAATTATACACTAATCATACATTAATTATACACTAATTATACAATAATTATACATTAATTATACACTAATTATACATTAATTATACACTAATTATACATTAATGATACACTAATTATACACTAATCAGCTGTAAGATCCACAGAATTATAGTACCACAACACTTCACCACAACAAGATTGTAGTACTACAATGTAGTACTGAGGGGAGAGACGCTCTTTATGGTGCTATGTAGATAGATCTTGCTACTTTCTTATTAGATGCTTCTCCCCGAAACGTCTCTCCCCAAGTAATTTAGATTGTAACACTAAGTTCAATAATTAATTAATTAATTACAATAATTAATTAATTAATTATGATTATTGTGATATTATATGAGACACATGACAGAATGATCGCATGCACGATTATTGACGGGTTGACTCACAGTCGGGGCTTTGGAGGCCGCATCGGTCTAAACATGGATATGTGAAAATACTGCATCAGTAACCATGGTTACAACAGTTAAATACTGCATAATCACCGAATAATTACTTCAAATGATTAAGCAATGGTTATTAAATAAATATCCCAAGGATATTATTTGATGTACCTAGTATTGGAAGGCACACTACGGTGATATTCCAACATTTAAAAGGCAGTAAAACTCACTGCTGAAAATTATACACCTGGTCCAAATAAAAATATAATTTTAACTACGCAGATTGCTTGCGGAGGTTTAGACGCTTGTTTTTTACAAAGGAGTAAATAACCTACCCCTTTGTTGTTTTCTTCGTCTTCTCCTTCTTTGGGAGGCTCAACACCGTCTAGATAAATACCTGAAGAGAGAAAAAGAGTGTCACTTTATACGTATATAGTTTCACTTTTAACACAAAGAGTTTCACTTTTAACACAAAGAGTTTCACTTTTAACACAAAGAGTTTCACTTTTAACACATAATAGCGGTTCACTTTCAACACATAGAGTTTCTCTTTACCATCACGACATGCTCCATTGTGAAACAACAGCTGACAATTAGTGTAATCAGGATAAGATCACCTCAATAAAAAAGATGAATGTTGATAAAGTGATAAAGTGATTATTCATTTTCATTAAGAACATTCAGTATTCAATATTCAATCATTTACATATCACATGTAAAATAGTTTTAATTTCTTTACATCAAAAATTCACATGAACAAAAGAAGCATTTATATGTTTACAGTAAAAATGGCAATTTGACCAGAAAACAGTGTCAATTTAGCGAGACTTTGAACAGTAAAAAGGGTAAATTTAGCGAGATTTCAAACAATAAAGTGTCTGTTATGCGAAACTTTGAACAGAAACTAGTGTCAATTTAGCGAGACTTTGAACAGTAAAAAGGGTAAATTTAGCGAGATTTTAAACAATGAAGTGTCTGTTATACGAAACTTTGAACAGAAACTAGTGTCAATTTAGCGGAACTTTTAACAGTGAACAGTGTCAATTTAGCGACACTTCGAAAAATAAACAGTGTCAATCTAGCGACACTTTGAACAATAAACAGTATCAATTTAGCGACACTTTGAACAGTGAACAGTGTGAATTTGGCGTCACTTTATAACCACATGCACCATGCTACATGTGTAAATGACAGAACAGAAGAATACCTCAGTAACCATGGTAACAACAGTTAAAAAGACGGCTCCCAACTTACTTTTATCTCCTTGGGGAGTGACTGGGAGAAGAGATTAATTAATCCTGTTTAATAGATCACTATATTATATATATATAATATATATATAATATAGTTGTATATATACCACTCTTTATATTCATATCATAACTAGTCACGTGATAATATCACATTGTTATCACGTTACGTGACGTCACAGAGCCCTCACGTGACGTCACACACTCCCTCAGCTCACGTGACGTTACACACTCCCTCACGTGACGTTACACACTCCCTCACGTGACGTCACACACGCCCTCACGTGATGTCACACACTCCCTCACGTGACGTTACACACGCCCTCACGTGACGTTACACACGCCCTTACGTGACGTCACACACGCCCTCACGTGACGTCACACACTCCCTCACGTTACGTTACACACGCCCTCACGTGACGTCACACAGCCCTCACGTGACGTCACACACTCCCTCACGTGACGTTACAAACGCCCTCACGTGACGTCACACAGCCCTCACGTGACGTCACACAGCCCTCACGTGACGTCACACAGCCCTCACGTGACGTCACACACTCCCTCACATGACGTCACACACTCCCTCACGTGACGTCACACACTCCTTCAAGTGATGTCATCTTAAACCATAACTAACCTGTCCCAGAAAGAGCTGGTGCGACTTCCTCCTCTTTCTTCACGACGATTTCCTCATCTTTCTCCATCTGATCGGGCATATCTTCTTTCCTCTTCTTGTTCTTCACCAGGATCTTATACTTCAACATCTCGGGGGAGGGCAACATGCAGCCCGGTTTTAGCTGAAGAAATACAGATAACTGGCAGGGCAATCAGTCAACATTTTAGGAGGGAAATCTAGAGCCAATATCGCCACTACAATTAATTTGTCACCAGCGTTACAAAGCGTTACAAGCGTTACAAAGCGTTACAATACTACATTATATCTTTAGATTTGTTTGGAGAGGCGAATCATACGGAGTTTACTACATTATGCTACAAACCTGAGCTTTTGGGTCATCAAGAGGCTCCCTAAGGAGTTACACACTCTCTCACGTGACGTCACACACTCTTTCACGTGACGTCACACACTCTTTCACGTGACGTCACACACTCTCTCACGTGACGTCACACACTCTCTCACGTGACGTCACACACTCTCTCACGTGACGTCACACACTCTCTCACGTGACGTCACACACTACATACCTGAGCTTTTGGGTCATCAAGAGGCTCCCTAAGGAGTTTATCTCCGAAAATGTCCATGCAGTATTTAGCCATCTTCTGCTGCTGTCGCGGCGTACAATGGTTCTCAAATGAGAGGATGAGAGGGTAGGGCGATGTTTTGAATGCTGTTTCGTTGATAGCAAGGATTACATCCTGAAAATGGGAAACTCAGTTGAGAAACGCAATTTTATCATAACACAATTTATCAGCTTGGGATCAGCTTACTGTACTACAGCTGCTCTACATAACACTTTATGTGGTATGTATTGTCGCCTAGAAAACGTTTTTCACAGTAACAGTCAAACCTCAATTTATCGTACCAAGAGGCTAGGTTAATGATAGATAGGCTGTATGTGTATAACAATATAACTGTACTAGAAAACCCGTGGTCACAGGGAGGAACCTAATAGTATTGTTTGGAAGTCAGTTTTAATCGTGTCAAAAAGTATTCATCCCCACCGAAGATACAGCCAAATAAAATGTTGATCGTACTAAACACGGCGTAATATCAACAAAACTGATCAAAATGACGTTAAAACAATCATTGCACGTGCGTGTAACAATCCTCGTTACTATGGTGACTACGCAACTTCCTATTTATCGGCTGATTTGCACGTGGGCGGTCGTACAGTGTACAAAAACAATTCTTTGAATTATAGTAGAGACTAGAAAGCCCGTGGTCACAGGGAGGAAACTAATAGTATTCTTTGGTAGACAGTTTTTATCGCATCAAAAAATATTCATCCCAACCGAAGATACAGCCGATTAAAATGTAGCTCGCACTGAACACAACGTAATTCGACAAAACCGATCAAAATGCCGGTCGCAAATCTTTGCACGTGCACGTGAGCTTTTGAACACCGTTACCATGGTTACTACGCAAGTTTATATTTTTCGTCTGATTTGCACGTGGGCGGTCGTACAGTGTACATACAGAATAATTCTTTGAATTATAGTAGAGATAAGCTAACAGCTAAAATATGCCACCAATAAACTTACTTTGAATTGAATAGAAGAACAGAGCGTAAAACCGTGGGTAATTTGAGGCTCATTATCTTCGCCGTCCCAACAATCCAACTCAATACATCTGCAGCCTGAGTTATAGACGTGTAATAAAGCTAGAAGTCAAGCATCAAGTATCAATGAACTTATCAAAAAGTATTAATTAACCTAAAGTTACCTGAAACTACTAGTTACCATGGTTACACTACTAGTTACCTGATAAGAGAACTTGTCTGTAAATCTCTACACTAGATTTCCCAGAGAACTGGTCACCAGTAAGGTAGGTGTTATGAGAACTGTTGATGAAGTAGTGAGAGATAGGCTGGTCCATGCTCTGGTAGACAGGGAGGTTTAGAATGTTGGTGGGGAGGTTGTCTGGAGACATGAGGAAGTTTGTGAACCCCTCCAGAGTCAGCTGCCCTATCTTCTGCTTGGATTTGTCTCCCTCGTACATGTGGATCAGTCTCTTTGTTCCATCCTTGTTGTGGTGAGGGAATAAGATTTCGTTTAATCGCGGATCTCGCTGGAACTTGTTGAGGAAGTCCACGATCTGATCGACACTGATGTAGTTCCGTCTGTTTCCCGCCTTGATCTCGTCAAATACTTTGGCCACTTCTGGCCTGTCTCCTAGCATTTCTTTGTAGAATTTGTAGAAATTCTCGAACGTAAACTTATCTTTGCTGAGCTGATCATTTTTTCTATCAGTTGGTTTAAGACCAGCTGTTTTTAGCGCTTCTACAACTTTCTTTTTCTCGTCTTTTGCTGTGACCTTGATAATTCTGAAATAATAATTATATTATAATAATAGTACAAAAACTGAAAACATTAAAAAACACAAACATTTTGTTTAGTTACGAGCAATACTGTGCCGATGAATATGACGCGTAGTTTACAATAATAACACTTACTCTTTCATTGAAACGTTTTTATCGTCTTTACTTGACAACAATATCCGCTTGTGCCTGAAAATTGAACGAGTAACTTTTGAACGAGTCCTGAACATAGCAGAAATTAAAAATTAACAGTCTAAACATTTAAGGTCATGAGTTGGAACATAGTAACACAACTTACATTTTTCGTACGAAGTCCATTTGAGATAGATTGATATTCAAGAAATGGTGACATATCGAGAATAGATCGGCAGCGAATGCCTGAAATAAAGTTGCTATGGTAATGATGGAAATTGACGCCCAATTAATTTTTCGGGGTTTGCATAAATATTTTGGTATTATTAAAATTGTGATAAGTGCAAAGTGATAAGTACAAAGAGTTGGTTTACTTTAGCAAACTTAATTTACTTAATAATTAACTTTTCGTTAGTAAATTCGAGTTGACTAGTTCAATTAACTGATCCAGGTAGAGCGCATGCGCGCGGTAAACATTGCGCGTTATCATGCGCGGAATTGACTACACTTGAGTCACAATGTTTGCACCGCGCCTTACAGTAAGTTGGCTACTAAAAATAGCATTCATCAACTAACTTCACCACTTTTAGCGCGTTCAGCGTGACTGCCAGTTAACTTATCATTAAATACGTGGGATACTCTTTAAATTTCACAAATTCTGATGGAAATATTCGCAAAGCTCCAGGGAAAGTTGAATTAAGATTTATTTAAAAGTTCCAAGGGAATTTAAATAACCATTTACCTTGCAATCCTCTTTAGTGAAAGCCATGAAGTTATAAAATTGATTTTCAGTAAACTTCTGATCAGCAGTGACGATTTGGAAGCATCGTTCGTTCAAGGGATCATCAGAATCACCCACGTGCTTGAAGTTCTCGATAGTCTTAGGATCCTGCAAAAGACAGCTGTTTAACAACAAGCTGAGACATGCATTCTGAACATAGTTTAAAATCTTCAAAAACCTACCATAAAAATTTACATTCTCTGTTAATGACGAGAGTGAGCTGTGTGTAAAACAGACTACAAGTCTGAGATAATATGCCATATTATACACGCAGCACAGGGTGGCCTGTATTATAAATGGTATTATATTATGCGGCACGAATTACAAACGACCATCAGCTCAATGGAATTATTTAAGTTTGCTTAATAAGCTAGATTAAGTACGGGTAAGTAACTGGAATATATAGTTAAGTTGGGGATTTAGAAATTGAAAGGTATTTAAAAGTGTATTTTGTGTAGGGTTAATGTGCAGACACTAGACAGTGATGAAACTGTAAAAATGCAAAACAGCTGTTATACTGTATATAGCTAGTGTATAAGTGTGTGTTAAAACACTAAAACACTGTATATACTACACTAAACATTACTAATCCTACTATGTATATACTACACTAAACATTACTAATACTAGGTATATACTACTAATCCTACAATTTATATACTCCAAATATTAGGATTCCTAAAAATAGTTCTATACATCACGCACCACTAGTAATCCTCTAATATCGGTGGTAGTTCTATATATCACTTTATATAACACTAGTTCTAACCAGCCTGCCCTCTGTGCCCCATTTCAAGCTTTGAACCTTTGTATAGTGGGTACAATGCACCATCTAGCCTGTGTACCCTGTACCCGGTACAGGGTACACAGGCTAGATGGTACATGTCCACTGTCCAGGGAGAGTACTAATGCTACAAGGTACAATGGTACATGTGAGACTGTGAGTACACATTGCTCCTTGCAGGTGATTAGTGCGTATCTTGTATCCCCCCCCCCCACCTCTCACCATTATACTCTATTTGGGAGGGTGTCCTCTGTAATGCACTGACAAATGCATCAGTGATGAGCAGAATGTCTCCAATTAGTAGTACAATAATAGCTACATTAAACGCGCAGCTACATTAAACGTGCAGCTAGATTAACATTACACGCGTAGCTACATTAACATTACACGTGTAGCTACATTACACGTGTAGCTACATTACACGTGTAGCTACATTACACGTGTAGCTACATTACACGTGTAGCTACATTAACATTACCCGTGCAGCTACATTACACGACGTGCAGCTACATTACACGTGCAGCTACATTACACGTGCAGCTACATTACACGTGTAGCTACATTACAAGTGTAGCTACATTACACGTGCAGCTACATTAAACGTGCAGCTACATTACACGTGTAGCTACATTACACGTGCAGCAACATTACAAGTGTAGCTACATTACACGTGTAGCTACATTACACGTGTAGCTACATAACACCTACAGCTACATTATACGTGTAGCTACATTACACGTGCAGCTAAATTACACGTGTAGCTATATTACACGTGCAGCTACATTACACGTGTAGCTATTGTCACTACATTACACGTGTAGCTACATTACACGTGCAGCTACATTACACGTGTAGCTATTGTCACTACATTACAATTAAACCATTAGAGTTAACACTATTGTTATACGTTTTACCAGTGTGTAATGTGTTTAGTACGTGTGTGTGTGAGACATGTGAGTGTAACTGTGTGATTATACATAGTATGATTGTACATAGTATAACGTATTGTAACGTACTGTGTGCCGTGAGAGAGCAGTAAAAGTCGCCCAAAATAAACATTTATGAACAATTATAGAACAATGGTGCACTAATAAGTTTAATAGGTCTTATAAATTTAATAGTGATATATATTTACTACTACTACTAATAAGTTTAATAGTGATATATTTACTACTACTAGTAATAAGTTTAATAAGTCTAATAAGTTTAATAGTGATATATTTACTGCTACTACTAATATGTTTAATAGTGATATATTTACTACTACTGTACTACTAAGTTTAATAGTGATATATTTACTACTACTACTAATAAGTTTAATAAGTCTAATAAGTTTAATAGTGATATATTTACTGCTACTACTAATAAGTTTAATAGTGATATATCTACTACTACTACTAATAAGTCTAATAAGTTTAATAGGTCTAATAAGTTTGATAGTGATATATCTACTACTACTACTAATAAGTTTAATAAGTTTAATAAGTGGGACCCACAATCCAATAGTTCGTGCTAAATAAGGGTAAATAATCCTAAATAGCTTACCTTTGGACATTTATCAGTTCTTATATCGACTATGTGTGCCACATCAATAACGTTACCCTCCTGCAAATATAACATGTAACTCATAAAAATATTCAATAGAACATAAGAATATTCAATTTAAACACATAATTAGGTAGTGTAACTATGGTAATTAGTAGTGTAACTATGGTAATTAGGTACATTCGATAACGTGTCGTGTGAGTCTGTAATATGCAAGTTAAAATTGCACTGTTATAATATAGTAGTGTTGAAAGTATTAAAGCTTTATTATTATCATAGTGTATTGAAACGTAAATTGTACGATTTAATGTGTGTTCAACGAATCTTTATTCGGCACTTTTAAGTAGCTTCAGCTTTACTGCTATCATAATAGGTGGTTACCATGGTTACAATGTGTAATCATTAGTAAAGCTAAAACTACTTAAAGTATTATTTCACGATACAGTGATAAATATGACACGACTTTATTACCTCTAACTTCCTAAGTTTATGGAAGGTATCAATAATAACCTTAGACTAACAAGAAATAACACATCTCGTGTTAAGGACTTAGTGAGTAAGTGTAATATTATAGCTAGTTGTTATTACTCCTTACTCCTTACTCCTTACTCCTTACTCCTTACTCCTTACTCCTTACTCCTTACTGTTATATTATAATCTGGTGGATTCGTGTAGTGTTTTTGAGTCTCATGATTTGATAGTTCTTTTATTCAAATTTCTGATTGTTTCTGAATAGACTCAGTGAAGACAGATTCTAATGGAAATAAATAGCTGAATAACGTATCGACATTTCTACGTCATACTCATATTCTGAAATAGTATTAATTCAATTATAACGATCAATATTCACATTAAAAATTTGACGACGAAATTTATTTCAAACAAAATATATAACTGTAAAATAGTTATCAACCGTAAATAGTTTTTAACGAAATCGGAGCAAATATGAACATAAAACTGACAACATTATCAAATAGGGCTCATCTGAAAATTAACGAATAGCGTGACGTTATACAGGAGATAAAAGATTAAAAGAGATAAAAGAATTAAACGAGAATATTACTATTTACACGTCACTCAACTAAAAACTGTGTTAGATTGTTCAACTCTGTTTTATCGTTGAGTGTTGGTTTATTTTCAACTAAAAATCGGGCTTCTTTAATCTTTCTGCTGATGAGTGATGTTCCTCTATCTACGATTTGAAGTTTAAGTTTTGGGGGGCCTTTGTGCTGAGGGTGACTTTCCCTGTAGTGCTTTGCTAGTGGCTTATCTTCGTAAGATTTTGCTGTTGGATTTGCCGCACTACGGTAATGCTCGTCGAACCTGCACTTGATCGGTCTGTATGTTTCCCCACCATAGTTCTCGGTACAATTGTCTACTTCGCAAGTGATGTGGTAGACGGTATTAGTTGTGGTGCATTCTCCATCGGTTAAAGCTGCGCATGTTCTGCAGTTTGATGTTGTACAGGATTTCTTGTCAAGGGGTCTGGAGTCTGTAAGGAGATCCTTCAGTTTCCGTCCAGGTTTCTCGACAATTTTGATGGGGAGTCCACTATGTCTGACAGCATCTCTGTATTTGCGACTAGTAGCTTCGTTGACATAGGGTAGTTTGAGAATCGCTCCGTCTTGGTCTTTGTTCTGTACGTTCTGATTAATTCTCTTTCTACGTTTTCTCTTGTTCTTTATGGTTTCTAAGACTCTATCAGTGTAGCCGTTGTTGATGAGAAGTTTATCTATCATCTTTTCTGAGTACTTCTCGTTTTCTCTGTTGTTAGAGACTGCCTCTGCGGTGTTGTACATACTCTCAACAGTAGCATTCTTTGTACGTGTTGTATGATGAGAGTTGTAGTGGAGGGTGAGTGGCTTTTTCTGTGGTTTTCTGTAGAGTCTAGAATGTACTATTCCATCTGAGTCGATCTTTATTTCCGTGTTGAGGAAGGGAACAAAGTCGTTCTGATTGTCAGGGTAGTCTACAGTTAGTTTGATAAGTTTGTCAGGATCTTGTTGTTCGATGAGGTTGCACAGTTGCTGAGCTTTTCGTCTGTTGGTGGTGGCTCCGTTTAGATCGTCGTAAAACCTGCTGTAGGTGGGCAGTGTTATCCTCAGGTCTACGTAGACTGAAAGTTTTTCCAGTTTCCACATTTTGACAGTAGCTAGTATAGGTGCAGGGTTGGTTCCCATGAACAATCCAAGAAGCTGTAGGTAGACTTGATTGTTGTAGACAAAATATGACTTTCCTAGGGTTGTCTCTAGTAGTTCTTGTAAATCAGAGAGATGGAGACCGTATGTACTGATTGACTGTCTATTTTCTTTGGCAAATTCCATGACATCTTCTATTGCTGTTAGTACGTTGATATTGGTGTATAAAGCTTCGACGTCTGCTGTAAAGAAAGTAAGACTCTTCAGATCATTTGGTGTGATGTTTCTAATCCTTCGAAGAAAATCGTGAGTGTTTTTCAAATGAGAAGGTACTAGATTCATCAGAGGAGATAGAATGTGACAGACGAACCAAAGGATTTTGTGGAAAGGGGAGTTGCAGCCTGAAACAATAGGTCTAGTTTTCATTGTGTCAGGGTTAAGAGTCTTGATCTCATCACTTGTGTACTTGTGTGTTTTAAGCATCACTCTTGCAGTAGCGAGGGTGGTGTGATGGCTCATTAACAGGTTAGTAACATCTTGAGGGAGATTACGACTCTTGGCAATGTTCTTGAATGTTGAGTTAACATCGTCTTCTAGAGTTTTAGTTAACTTGTTTATGTACTTTTGTTTGCCCAGTTTATCCTGTGGTATGTCGATCTTCTTGTAGACGTTTCCATTGTTGAGGTGAGTTGTAGTTGTCCTGATGTGATCTTCTTTAGGCATTACTACAAACTCTGCTGTTTTGTCAGCGACGGAAATTTGAAGGTCTTCATTGTTCTTCAGGTTTCTGAGGGCAGTTCGTTGTTTTGGAGTGAGATTGGGTGTGACTTGAGCTGTCTTGGTGATGTTGATCAGATCTCGTCGAAGTGCACCCAATTTGTTCTCGACGGTAGTGTCTGCTAGAGGTGGAGCACGAGTGTAAGTTTGCTCGAATGGTGCAATGTTCTTCAAATGTTGTTTAAGCGTCTTAGTTGAGTAGGTGTTAGCGAATAACTCTTTCCAACGCACATTAATGGCCATTGCAGCAATATTCTCCTGTACCGTAGTGAGTAAGGCCTCCTTTCCTTTCTTGTCCAGTCGTGGGGTTAGGGCATACCCTGGACCGAGGCTGAGTAGGCTTACAGTGTCATCATTGATCATGTTCTCTGGAATGTTGACGAACGTGACCTTTTCTCTCGGGGTAGCGAGTGGAGGGGGATGAGTAGGGGAAGTAGGATTGGAATTGGAGTGTTGATAAAGCGGGCGAGGAGGGGAGGTAGAGGAGGATGAACGTAGAGTAGGACGATGATCGAAAATGGTATATAGAGGGGGTGGTAGTTGGTCCTGTTTCTTAATGTGGTGGTACAAGTGGATATAAGAGAAGTTCTGATTGAATTTTTCTCTGTTTTTCCAACAGGGGAGGTAGTATTTGTATACTAACCAGCTAAATTTGTTACATAGTCTTGTCTTAGAGTTTTGTTTAGTTTGATTATTGTTGTGAAAATAAAGCTGCGAAATGAAAGCAAAATGTTCAGGTGTAGAATCACGTAAAAAGTTCTTCAGTTGGAGTGAGTCCTTCTTTAGTTGTTCGATGAGTACGTATTTGAACTGAATGTGTTGGTTTAAACATGATTTCCTGAGTTCGAATAGTGTTTTTTGTTGAAAGGCTGAGAAATTTAGAGGAAATGACTGTTTCAAAGCTCTGACACTGTTCTGAATGAATACTGGAAATATTTGCTCCGATTTGCAGCGTTGTAAAAAGAGAAGGGCCTGTTCGGTTCCTTTTAGTTTTTCTCCATATTTATTTCCATTAGAATCTGTCTTCACTGAGTCTATTCAGAAACAATCAGAAATTTGAATAAAAGTGTTATATTATAGCTAGTTGTTATTACTCCTTACTCCTTACTCCTTACTCCTTACTCCTTACTCCTTACTTCTTACTACTTACTCCTTAGTCCTTACTCCTTTCTTATTACTCCTTACTCCTTACTCCTTACTGTAATATTATAGTTAGTTGTTATTACTCCTTACTCCTTACTTCTTACTGTAATATTATAGCTAGTTGTTATTACTCCTTACTTCTTACTTCTTACTGTAATATTATAGCTAGTTGTTATTACTCCTAACTCCTTACTCCTTAATCCTTACTCCTTAATCCTTAATCCTTAATCCTTACTCCTTACTCCTTACTCCTTACTCCATACTCCTTACTCCTTACTCCTTACTCCTTACTGCATTATTATAGCTAGTTGTTATTACTCCTAACTCCTTACTTCTTACTGCATTATTATAGCTAGTTGTTATTACTCCTTACTCCTTACTTCTTACTGTAATAATATTATAGCTAGTTGTTATTACTCCTAACTCCTTACACCTTACTCCTTACTCATTACTCCTTACCCCTTACTCACCATATCCTGAGTGACGTACTCCACAAAGAAACCGTTCTCTTCCACCCTTATCTCGCATATTGGTGTAGCAATAGAGTCCTGAAAGGGATAAATATCATTAGACGCTAATTATATTTCTATTGACTAGCATAATTAGTATAATTAGTATAGTTATATAAATCTTTGTGATATCATGTAGAGAGTGTGGGAGACCCATTTTAAACTGTTTTACAGGTGTCTGGTATCGGGGATGATAGCTGAGCCTATGTAATAAACAATAGGAAATATAAACAATATGCTCTACCTCCGTTAATTAAAAGAGTTCTTACACCTCAGAACCTCATGTGAATTTTGAAGGAAACATCATGAAATAACGTGTGTTAGTGACCATTGTAACCGTGGTAACCTTGGTAACCATGGTAACCACCTCCCCCACAATGCGCAGCTTTCTTTCAGCTCCCTCTTCCCAGTGTACAGTACAGTGTACAGTGTTTAAGTGTGTAAGTGTTAAGTGTGTATAATACAGTTATACAGTACTGTAATATTGTGTGAGAATGTGGCTGTAACTAGAATTAATGGTGTTAACTACAGTTAATTAATGGTTTATACTCCTTGATACAGTTCCACAAATTATACAAAGGTAACCGACAAAGCAGTGTTTTCTACAAACTTTGCACAAAATGTTTCTTCAATTCCCCTGATTCAGCTACCTATATAATATATATAGCATATATTACGGCTAGAATGGGCAATATAATGGTAACTATAGTAACCAATAGAATCACTTTAAACTTCTAATCATATTATATGCATCCTTCGTAAAAAACTATGAATAAGTCTTTAGTAGTTTATTAAGCAGTAAATAATACTGGGTGGGGGGGGGGGTACGGTGGGGGGCACCCTTACTCCTAAGATAATATTATAAACTGAAAGATTAATTTCGTACAACTACAAAATTACAACGAAGCCTTGGTCATGATAATTATATATTATAAAGGAGTAGTGCTACTACATTAGAGTTCCTAAGGGGGAACCCTTATAAGTTTCTATTCATCATTCTTCCACTAAAGTAGTTCTTCTCTAAATTACAAATAAAGTGTTAATTGAAATGTTGGTTCATAACTCTGTATAAATGTGATAACATAATAAGTGGTAGCCATAACCATGGTAACTATGGTAACCATGCCATGGCTGTTCCGATACTTTTATTGTAGTAAAGTAGTAAGATTCAAATATTATTATCTATATATATATATAATTATAGTATATTTTAATATGCATTGTCTTGCAGAAATTTCAATAAGTTATGCGTATTAAAATCTTTTATTCTATTATGTATTATAATATATATATATATTGCAACCAATCTATCATTATATTTGTAAAATGTTATCTCCCAGACAATAAGCAACGTATTTTCTCAGTGGTCACATAGCTACATAGGTAGGTGGTTCTCATTGGCTCACAGTAAGACAGTAGTCCACACCATCTCAACATTTACGCATCACTCATCGGTTACAGAATATTATATTCTATAGATAGTACAATAATTTATTTTGTATCACATAAAGTAAAACACCCGCACTGCACCCCCCCCCCCCCGGCCCCCCCCCCCCCCCCCCCCCCCCCCCGGCCGAATAAGAAAGTTATAATATATAACAAAGTTTTACAGATTTGTACAGATTTAGAGGTTAGAAAGGTTACGTGGTGTGTGCCTTGAATCCTTTGGAGTGAAGTAATACAAGTATTATAAAGCTATAAAACTACAACTACTACAACTACTTATATTATCATATATTTTAACCTGTGAATCTGTAGAACGGGTTTTGTAATGAATAAAATCTACTATTTTCGTTATAATAGGCTCAGTTTTGTTATCCTATGGGTTTATCATGTCTATATCATAGCACCTCCAGGTATATCATAGCATGCTATCATCCAGTCATATTATGTGAACTTAGTTTAACAAATATTACTAACAAAGTAACATGTTATTTTAGTAGTAGTGGTAGTTATAATCTGATTAAGTTGTGTATTTGTTTAGTTGTACACATAAACATTTATACATGTATATTACTATACCATTACACGTTATAAACACTGTGCACGTGTAATGGCTCCCTACAGTTAGTAACGTTTATTCCGCAGTACTTACAAAGTATCACTATGTCTAGTAGCTAATAACACTACACGTGATCACTGGGAGGAGACACTATATTGATTTGATTAGCAATTTCTTAATGAAATAGTGGTTTTATCGCTGAGAACAACAACAACCATGTTACTAGTTACCACTAAACTACCCTGTTACTTTAGCTGTAGAAACTACTAGTGACTACTAAACTACCCTGCCTAAAGGGAGGGTTTTGTTGCTGATGATATAGGTGCACACTACACAGTATAGCTGTGTTAAGTAGTACTATTAGTGCCCCACCCCCGATAATACTGGTTAATATAGGGTCCCTAATGGGTTAAGGGTTAACGCACCATCTCACGCACCATTTTCACACAAAAAATGTCTCTGGAAACATCTATTTCTGTTCTGAAATCGAGCATTTTTTTAAACAAAAAACTGAGATAAGCCCCCCATGCCAGAATGATGCAATATTACTTTATGGTTGCACTAGCAGTTCCATAACCTACCATAACTTATTACTTAATATCGATGATATCATAACACACATAACCCCGGCATGCGCAGGGATTATATTTCAATTTTTCCCGCGACGCGCGGGAAAAGTTTATAATAATTTCGAGTGCGATGCACGAGGGATTATTGGCAAGTTTCCATAACTAATTTTTTGTGATCAGCGGTAATAACCGCTTTTTTTACGCTAAAAAAGCGCTTATTGATAAAACCCACCGTTATTTGGCGATTATAAAGCGATTATAAACGGTCCCGTTAATAAACGATTAAAAACGATTATAATCGCTTTTTTCATAAAATATTTTTGCAAAAGCGATTATTAGCGCTTTAAAAGCGATAATAAATCGCGAATTAAAATTATTAGTGATAAAAAAACGCTTTTATTTTAGGGTTGTCGATTATTATCGCTCCGTAAGCGCTTTTCAAAAAACGCTTATAAACCGTTTTTTGGACCGTTTTTTAAAACGCTTTTAATCGACTATAAGCGATTATATTCACTAGGGAAAGTTCCAAATTAAAAAGCGCCTACTAATCGTTAAAAAAACGCTTTTTTATTTTAAGTTAATAAGCGGTTTAAATCGATTATAAAACGATTATAAGCGACAATAAGCGATTTTTTGAATCTGCTAAAAAGCGATATTTTCACTATGATCAGCGCTTATAACCGCTTTTCTTGAAATTTTCCTACTGAAAAGCGTTTATAAGCGCTTATTTATTTGCTGTCTATAAGCGATTATAAACGATTATAAGCGCTTTTTTACGTATTTGAAACGAGGAAAAAATTGTCAGGTACGAGATATTATAAGCGATTATAAGTGATTATAGAATATCGTAAATGTTATTGCGTAAATGTTATTGCCTTCAATTTGTCGCTTATAAGCGATTATAAACGATTAAAAGCGCTTTTTGACGCATTTTAAAACTATGATCAAAATATGTTTTGATTTGATTTATTTGGGGTATATAAGCGATTATGTAAGCGGGGTATATAAGCGATTATAAACGATTATGAGCGCTTAATTGTTTACGTATTTGGAACGAGGACACAACTACTCAATAAACAACAAAAATTACGCGATAGCCGGAGGTCCCCAGGTAACGTCTCCGTCTCCGTCTCCGTCTCCGTCTCCGTCTCCGTCTCCGTCTCCGTCTCCGTCTCCGTCTCCGTCTCCGTCTCCGTCTCCGTCTCCGTCTCCGTCTCCGTCTCCGTCTCCGTCTCCGTCTCTGTCTCTGTCTCCGTCTCCGTCTCCGTCTCCGTCTCCGTCTCCGTCTCCGTCTCCTTCTCCTTCTCCGTCTCCTTCTCCTTTTTTAATTCGATTGTTTAGGGCTAGGGCTCGGGTTAGGGTTGTGGTAAGGGTATCGGATAGCTTCGGGGTTATATATTATGGTCGTTAGGGTTGGGATTACGCAGGAGGAGCAAAGTGCAAAGAAACTGCCACAAACTGCTACAAACTGCTACTAACTGCTACAAACTGGCACTAACTGCCACAAACTGGCACTAACTGCTACAAACGGGCACTGACTGCTACAAACGGGCACTAACTGCTGCAATCGCGCCCACGCATTGCTCCTCCTGTGATTAGGGTTTATATAAAACCGTTTTTTACGGCTGCAAAACTATAAAAACCTTGTACCCCCATCGTTGTTTCATTATACCCCTGTAGATTTTCTACGATACAGGGGGAGCTGCGCAATTGTGCGCAGCGGGTCATACAACGTATGACAATAAAACCAAAGTCACATAAAATTTTTGGGCGAGCGAATTAGTAAAAGCCAGCTCGGCATTTTGCCGCAATCTACGTGGTTGGGAGAAGGATTATTTGATGCGCGGCGCAGCCCAGTAGTGCATCGCGCTACAAGTAATTGTTCTACTTTATTGTATCCCAGAGTGGTATTTGACGCACGTTACTGGGCGGCGCTCAGCCTGTCATTCCGCCGAATCTCTATTATGAACATAATAGCCTGAGGTCCCCAGGTAAGACGCACGTTATAATTGTTTATATTAGGCGTGCAGAATTTTAACAAGAATTTCAACAAAAATTTTGCCGCGGTTAAACCACGCACGATCAATTTTTCTAATTGCCAAACACCACTCTGGGATATACAATAAAGTAGAACAATTACTTGTAGAGCGATGCACTACTAGACTGGACTGCGCCGCGCATCAAATAATTCTTCTCGCAACCACGTAGATCGCTGCAAAATGCACTATTGGGCCTTGCCGAACTGGCTTTTACTAATTCGCTGATTTGCTCGCCCAAAAATTTCATGTGACTTTGGTTTTTATTGTCATACGTTGTATGACCCGCCGCGCACAGGTGCGCGGCTCCCCTGTATCGTAGAAACTATACAGGGGTATAGTGAAACGGCAATGGGGGTTACTGGGCGGCGCTCAGCCTGTCATTCCGCCGAATCTTTATTCTTTATGAAACATAATAGCCTGGAGTCCCCAGGTAACGATGGGGGTCACGACGTGATACAAGGTTTTTATAGTTTTGCAGCCGTACAAAACGGTTTTACATAAACCCTAATCCCAACCCTAACAACCATAATATATAATCCCGAAGCTATCCGATACCCTTACCACAACCCTAACCCGAGCCCTAGCCCTAAACAATTGAATTCAAAAAAGGAAAAGGAGAAGGAGAAGGAGGAGGAGACGGAGACGGAGACGGGGGCGGAGACGGAGACGGAGACGGAGTATCATATCAAATTGTTGTTATTCTCTAGCCGACGGCTTGCTAGTTAAATAAATCGTACGCGTAATCAGTTTCAATCCCGGCCTCACGGAAAATCCCGAAACACGCGGTATCATAAACGTATTCGTAAACGGATGAAAGGCGACCATGTTACTAGTTCTATTATATAGATTATAGCTATAAGTATTAGTAGAAGTGTTACTGAGAGATGTGCACTTTGTGTTCATGTGTCGGCAAGAGAATAACCTCATTTGATCTCCTTTTCCTTCTCCTTGTCTCCTTGTCTCATTGTCTCCTTATCTCCTTGTGTCCTTGTCTCCTTGTCTCCTTGTCTCCTTGTCTCCTTGTGTCCTTGTGTCCTTGTGTCCTTGTCTCCTTGTGTCCTTGTCGCCTCGTGTCCTTGTCTCCTTGTCTCCGTGTCTCCTTGTCTCATTGTGTCCGTGTGTCCTTGTGTCCTTGTGTCCTTGTGTCCTTGTGTCCTTGTAGTTGTATCCTTGTGTCCTTGTGTCCTTGTCTCCTTGTGTCCTTGTCTCCTTGTCATTGTCCTTGTTTCATTGTCTTTGTCTCCTAGTCTCCTTGTCTCCTTGTCTCCTTGTCTCCTTGTCTCCTTGTCTCCTTGTCTCCTTGTCTCCTTGTCTCCTTTTCCTTGTCTCCTTGTCCTTGTCTCCTTGTCCTTGTCCTTGTCCTAGTCTCATTGTCCTTGTCTCCTTGTCCTTGTCTCCTTGTCCTTGTCTCTTTGTCTTTGTCTCCTTGTCCTTGTCTCCTTGTCCTTGTCTCCTTTTCCTTGTCTCCTTGTCCTTGTCTCCTTGTCCTTGTCCTTGTCCTTGTCCTTGTCCTTGTCCTTGTCCTTGTCCTTGTCCTTTTCCTTGTCCTTGTCCTTGTCCTTGTCCTTGTCCTTGTCCTTGTCCTTGTCCTTGTCCTTGTCTCCTTGTCCTTGTCTCCTTGTCCTTGTCTCGTTGTCCTTGTCTCGTTGTCCTTGTCTCGTTGTCCTTGTCTCCTTGTCCTAGTCTCATTGTCCTTGTCTCCTTGTCCTTGTCTCCTTGTCCTTGTCTCTTTGACCTTGTCTCCTTGTCCTTGTCTCCTTGTCCTTGTCTCCTTGTCCTTGTCCTTGTCCTTGTCCTTGTCCTTGTCCTTGTCCTTGTCCTTGTCCTTGTCCTTGTCCTTGTCCTTGTCCTTGTCCTTGTCCTTGTCCTTGTCCTTGTCCTTGTCCTTGTCCTTGTCCTTGTCCTTGTCCTTGTCCTTGTCCTTGTCCTTGTCCTTGTCCTTGTCCTTGTCCTTGTCCTTGTCCTTGTCCTTGTCCTTGTCCTTGTCCTTGTCCTTGTCCTTGTCCTTGTCCTTCTCCTTATTACCAACATCTTATCATCGTTGTTCAATTTTTGTGGTTGCAAACTTTCAGTTCTCTGGCAACAAGGATTAAGATAGATCGCTAAATGTTATGTCAATGTGTACAGTGTAACCATATATTTCCATATAACATATAGTGAAACAAATGTAATTAACTCAAGATTAAGAAGCGGTTGTAATTTATCAAAACGCAAATTATTAAAAATCAAAACGCAAATTATCGTCATGACGGCAAAAGATATATCTTTTATTTCCAATTTGCTGCGAAAATATTGGCAGATGTGCAAAAAATCCCAAGCTTCCCTAGAATTCATGTTTTACTAGCCTGTCACGTGACCAAAACGGTTTTTTTTGCTTATAACTCTCCAGGGAAGCATTTTTACCCTACGTCATGGGGGGTGATTCGGAATTAGCGTCCAAAAATACATCGATTTAGATCAATTTCATACCCAAAGGGCCTTTTCACAAGAATTTTCTTAAAATTTGGGCGAGCGATTTAGTATGAGCGCGCCGAGCTATGTCATTTATAATTATAATACCTCATAATCGCTTATAGTCCAGTCATTTATGGAAATGAACCTGCAAATTTTCAGATACTCACGAAACTTTGCACAGACCTTCCCAAAGGTATGAATAAACGATTTTCGGTTGGAGACATTTTTTTACCATGGGGAAAACCCAGGAGGGCCACGCACATATTGACCCAATAATGTAACCGACCCTTTGCTTCTGAAGGTCGTAGAGACTTCAAAATAGGCTTAAACGAAGCCGCATATGCATGTTTATATAGAAGTTATTGATCAACACATGGCCTAAAATCCTTAATTTTCGAGAAATTCGCCAAAAACCATTTTGGGCGAGGCGCTGAGCCAATTTGCTAACTTTTGATATAATCGTGATAGAGTCTTCGGACAAAGTGCAAAAGAACTGCAATTGGCATATTTATAGATGACTTATGAGGAAACATGTGCCTTAAAGTGCTTACTTTTTCAGTTATTGGCGAAAAACTGATTTTCGGTTCCAGAAATCATGCAAAAATATGAGTATCTGGTAAATTGGGCTATGAAGGCCCTAGAGATTTTTGAATGAGTGCAAATTGTGCAGAATGGCCATGTTTATGTGCAACTTATGAAGCAATATGTACCCTAAAATGCTCACTGTCCGAGTTATTTGGGGGAAAACCAGAGAAAATTTTCACGAAATAGAGCAAAATTGGTTATATCAGCCATTTTTGCCTCCCGTTCTATGTTAATAACTCGAACAGTGAGCATTTTAGGGTACATATTGCTTCATAAGTTGCACATAAACATGGCCATTCTGCACAATTTGCACCCATTCAAAAATCTCTAGGGCCTTCATACATCATAGCCCAATTTACCAGATACCCATATTTTTGCATGATTTCTGGAACCGAAAATCAGTTTCCGCCAATAACTGAAAAAGTAAGCACTTTAAGGCACATGTTTCTTCATAAGTCATATATAAATATGCCAATTGCGGTTCTTTTGCACTCTATCCGAAGACTCTATCACGATCATATCAAAAGTTAGTAAAATGGGCTCAGCGCCACGCCCAAAATGGTTTTTGGCGAATTTCTCGAAAATTAAGGATTTTAGGCCATGTGTTGATCAATAACTTCCATATAAACATGCATATGCGGCTTCGTTTAAGCCTATTTTGAAGTCTCTACGACTTTCAGAAGCAAAGGGTCAGTTACATTATTGGATCAATATGGGCGTGGCCCTCCTGGGTTTTCCCCATGGTAAAAAAATGTCTCCAACCGAAAATCGTTTATTCATACCTTTTGGAAGGTCTGTGCAAAGTTTCGTGAGTATCTGAAAATTTGCAGGTTCATTTCCATAAATGTCCATTAATAACTGGACTATTATTATAATATCGCGTAATTTTGTTGTTAATTGTGTCCTCGTTCCAAATACGTAAAAAATTAAGCGCTCATAATCGTTTATAATCGCTTATAGACAGCAAATAAATAAGCGCTTATAAACGCTTTTCAGTAGGAAAATTTCAAGAAAAGCGGTTATAAGCGCTGATCATAGTGAAAATATCGCTTTTTAGCAGATTTCAAAAAATCGCTTATTGTCGCTTATAATCGTTTTATAATCGATTTAAACCGCTTATTAACTTAAAATAAAAAAGCGTTTTTTTAACGATTAGTAGGCGCTTTTTAATTTGGAACTTTCCCTAGTGAATATAATCGCTTATAGTCGATTAAAAGCGTTTTAAAAACGGTCCAAAAAACGGTTTATAAGCGTTTTTTTGAAAAGCGCTTACGGAGCGATAATATTCGACAACCCTAAAATAAAAGCGTTTTTTTATCACTAATAATTTTAATTCGCGATTTATTATCGCTTTTAAAGCGCTAATAATCGCTTTTGCAAAAATATTTTATGAAAAAAGCGATTATAATCGTTTTTAATCGTTTATCAACGGGACCGTTTATAATCGCTTTATAATCGCCAAATAACGGTGGGTTTTATCAATAAGCGCTTTTTTAGCGTAAAAAAAGCGGTTATTACCGCTGATCACAAAAAATTAGTTATGGAAACTTGCCGGATTATTATGAAAATAACCCCGACGTGCTTTAGCACGAGGGGTTATTTTAATATAACTTAAGCGTGCCGGTGTTATGTGTTATAAACCCCTCCGGGTTAGTGCTAGGACCGACAAATTTGACATTTTACTCTTAAATATAGCTATATGAGATCATTAAGGAAAATATGAAATGGAATTCGGGACTACCAAATAAATACAACTAAGGTACTATGACTTTTGAAATTGGCGTTATATCTAAACATTATTCCTCAGTCAGAACGTTGAATGAATATGAATATCGATAAGGGGCGTCGAGTTAAGCCTGGCAAGCGATAAAAGCTAATAATGATATCGTGTCATGAAGTTTATCAAAGTAGACGACTATAATACATGGCTTATATCAAACACGACAAAATTAACCGAACCGGACAAAATCAAATGTAACCGTCGAGACAAGTTTTGGAACTGGTCCAATTAATGTAAGAGTTTAAGTAATGTAAGCAGTGTGCTGGAGTTTTGCCAGCGCCTGCAATTAGACCGATACGTAGATCGAGTGTATTTATAGTTCTTACGTTAAGCCATAGGTCACGTGACATTTTTTACCCATGCGCGTCGTAGTAGTTAGTCACGTGATACACGTCATCAAAACACGTGACAGTACGCGGTTGAAATTCTCATGGAATGTCAAAACAAAACAAATCTTGTTGAGCCAAATTAGCGGGGCGGGATTATAAAAGCTGTGCCGGGGTTATTTATTCAGCGGGAAAAACTAACAGCGGGAGCCGGGATTATCAGAATCTATTTAGCGGGAGCCGGGATTATCAGAATCTTATTCTATCCCGGAGGGGTTTATAATAATATTATGATCATATTATATAATTACTAGAAAACCCGTGGTCACAGGGAAGTGCGCTAATAGTATTTTTTGTTAGTAAGTTTAAATCGCGTAAAAAAATATCGTACACAACCGTTCAAGATACAGCCGATTAAAATGTTGCTCGCACTGAACACAACGTAATTACCACAAAACCGATCAAAATGTCGTAACAACTATTATTGCACGTGCACGTGCGTGTAACAATCCTCGTTACTATGGTTACTACGCAACTTCCTATTTCTCGTCTGATTTGCACGTGGGCGGTCGAACATACATACAAAGGGAATTCTCTGAATTATAGTAGAGATTACTATGATGATTAGCGTGAATTATCAAAAGTATCACTTTTCACAGCATGTCATATAATAGCCTACTCACGACTATGATTCTCACAAGGGCTGCAAACTTATTTGAGTATGAGTTCTATTATATAATATATATGTATTGTAATACTATGAGATTTTAACGTGGGGTGATTAAGTTATAAGCACCTCCGGGTTAGAATAATAAGGAAGGTTTGTGAAGATGAAAATATAGTTCTTGGAGAAGTACGAAAAAATCGGCACGAAAAATCGGTCACGAATAAGAGATAACGATATTAGTTAGTTCTAGTTATGACGGTGTTTAGCAGATGAGTCGGACTACCCAGTGATCCTATCACGTGACAGCTAATCAGCCAATCAGGCTTGAGTGGACACGTGGGCGCGGCTCTTGCCCTCTCCTTGGTTTAGAGCGAGCAGACGGGTATCGTATGTTTACTTTCCTTATCTGTAATTTGACCCTCTGTTCACATTTTTATCCCTACCACAGCTTTGCTCGGCAATTTCAAGGTGCTCATATTATCTCCTCACGTGACAAGATACGCGAGATTCGTTCCATCTCGATGTATCATTACCGTTATCTTTATTTCATCATGGCAGTGCTTATTATATGATAAATAAAGATAACGGCGTCATAGCTCCCCCCCCTCTCCCCCCCCCCCCCTCTCCCCCCCCCCCCTCTCCCCCATGTAGCTCCTTTAAATCCGACTTTAGGTAGTTTGCTACATTACACGATTACAATTGTACACCTAGTACACAAGTAATATATAATATAATATCTACACTTTATTAATATTCAGTTAGTACTCTTTGTGGGGTAAATATCACTAATTGAACTGTTACACCAATTAAATAACACGACAAGTTATCCACACATCAGATCTCAGCTCAGGGACTCAGCTACCAATCAGATCGGCAGAGTGTTAGCAATACAAGGTGCTCGGAACATTTTATTGTCATATTTTTCCTCGTAACGGGCGTTGTAATTAGGACAGCTGAAATATAGCTGTAACTTGTGGGCCTCCCTGTAGGCTGATCCTCATTAGAGAACACCTTGGATTATTAGCTCAGTGGGAGATTTTACACGCTAAACAGTAAAAAGACAAGCTGCTGGTTACTATGGTTACTGCATGTGGGCGCGGCTCAGCGGCTGCTGGTTTAACTGGTACAGCTGTGTTATGTGAGGAAATTAGAGTTACAACTACAAGTCTAGTATGATAGTATGATGAATCTATAATATATATTATATTACCTATGTTACCTGTGTTACCTGTGTTACCTATGTTACCTATGTTACCTGTGTTACCTATGTTACCTATGAGTATTGCTGAAAGCACAGTGTAAGGCCTACACGGACCGCCTCTAACTAGCCAATCCCTGTTTACATGCCGTGTAGCAGGGGACTAGAAAGAGCTAAACTAGTAAACTATGTTACCTGTGTTACCTATGTTACCTATGTTACCTATGTTACCTGTGTTACCTATTAGTGCTTTTCATTCAAAGAAGTAAAACCGAATCTTTTATGTCATGTTTCCAGGGTTTGGACTGGAATTGCCAGCTTAAAGAACTTCCATCGCATTACATTACATAATTTTCTCAATAAATGTAATAGATTTGTAGTGTTGTAATTAGTTTAAAATATGTTACCTATGTTACCTATGTTACCTGTGTTACCTATGTTACCTATGTTACCTGTGTTACCTGTGTTACCTATGTTACCTATGTTACCTATGTTACCTATGTTACCTGTGTTACCTATGTTACCTGTGTTACCTGTGTTACCTATGTTACCTGTGTTACCTATGTTACCTGTGTTACCTATGTTACCTGTGTTACCTATGTTACCTGTGTTACCTATGTTACCTATGTTACCTGTGTTACCTATGTTACCTATGTTACCTATGTTACCTATGTTACCTGTGTTACCTATGTTACCTGTGTTACCTATGTTACCTATGTTACCTATGTTACCTGTGTTACCTATGTTACCTACGTTACCTATGTTACCTATGTTACCTATGTTACCTATGTTACCTGTGTTACCTATGTTACCTGTGTTACCTGTGTTACCTATGTTACCTGTGTTACCTATGTTACCTGTGTTACCTGTGTTACCTATGTTACCTGTGTTACCTATGTTACCTATGTTACCTGTGTTACCTATGTTACCTGTGTTACCTATGTTACCTGTGTTACCTATGTTACCTATGTTACCTATGTTACCTATGTTACCTATGTTACCTATGTTACCTATGTTACCTGTGTTACCTATGTTACCTATGTTACCTGTGTTACCTATGTTACCTATGTTACCTGTGTTACCTATGTTACCTATGTTACCTGTGTTACCTATGTTACCTATGTTACCTATGTTACCTATGTTACCTATGTTACCTATGTTACCTGTGTTACCTATGTTACCTATGTTACCTATGTTACCTATGTTACCTGTGTTACCTATGTTACCTATGTTACCTGTGTTACCTATGTTACCTATGTTACCTGTGTTACATATATTACCTAAATATAATGTGATGGAAGAGATACATATATTATATCTATAATACAAATTATATCTAGCTCTCGGCTTGCCGATTGAACACTGTCAGCAGACGACGCCACCCACAATTATATCTATAACATATATATATGATACTACCTATGTTACCAATGTGCTGGGAGTATGGTGATATATAATATAGTATTCTGATGATATTATATTGATCCTCCAATATGTCAACTAATGGACCCTGGCTGATCTGATCTAACTAATATAATATCAAGAAGGGATATCTCACTTTCCTTCAGTTGAGAACTTGACAGTTGTTAAATGTTAATTAACTGCAGTGTAGTAAATGAGCTGTAAGTAAGTAGAGATGCTGACAATTTTGTCAGCATGAATAAGAAGTTGTTACTTTGAAACGTCGTTTATCCTAACAGTGCAGTATCATTTGTCGCAAGAAATCAGAATAATCAGAAACTATTTGGAACTCCCAAAAACTGTCTATAGTAAACAAAAGATACAAAAGGGCCGGAGAAATATGCACAAACGAATGTTCTGATACATTTTAATAATTAGTTTTGATAATTACTAATTAAATTCACAAAGAGGTAAGTTTTACCTAATGATAATCTTGAAGTTATTAAGGGGGAGATTTGTTAATTTAAGTTTGAATTTAAGTTTAAATTTGGCCCTGATCCAAGAAACCCAAATGAAGACTTTCATTTCAATACTTCACTACTTCAATAGTCACTGAATGAAGCACTTTAAATGTGTATTTGTATGCTGAGCGTTTCAGTGTAACCTACTATACGCTTACTGAACTAACTAACAATGTCGCAAATAGTTAACTTTTAAAACACACACTAAACCTGGCTGCTCCTACTACTGCTGTTGTTATGTGTATTAACTGCTGTTTAATAACACTCTTACAATAGAACTGCAGCTTAGTTTTATACTTTATAGTTTATACTGCAAGTTTTATAATATAATGTAATATAATATAATATATAACACTATATATTATATATTATATATTATAGTATAATAATTGAGGGAGAAATAATAATATCATTACTACGTTTTTATTTTTAGTTCGGTATGTAAACTACTCAATTCTCTGATTCTGAAGTATACTGTTAAAAAAGCTTCGAACACTTAGCCTGAGTAGTATAGCTTACATTACATTACATTACATTACACTACACTACACTACACTACATTACATTACATTACATTACATTACATTACATTACATTACATTACATTACATTACATCACATCACATCACACCGGAAATTTAATCAATTATATCAATGACTTTAAAGCTTCATAATTAATCATAGTTGCCGGCAGATTAAATTACTAAAACATTCGCTAGATAAAAAGATAATCATAATAATTAGAATTAGATGCGAAGGTATATTATCAACATAACATAAGCGTGATCAATTAGAAAGCCCCTCAGTGATTACGAAATGTAGAAGTAGTAGTATTTACTATTTACCATAATAAAACTGATCTCTAGTGTACATAAGGGACTTGTAAACTAAAGATCAGATCTTATAACTTGTGTTGTCATGGTAACTCCAGACTTGTAGACCCGATCCTTCTAATGCTTTGTTTAAGTCTCACCACTGAGGCGTGGGGCAATTGTTAGCAGTATATTGTTTGCAGTATATACCAATACCACCCAGTTGTAAAGAAACCAGTGCTATGGGAACCAATGCCCGGGCTACAGCACCACACGTGTCAATAAAACGTGTCAATAAGAAGTGAGAAGTGAGAACCACGTGACACTCCACGTGAGAGTTACCATGACAACACGAGCAAGGCACAGGTCACGTGACTCTGTCTTGCTCGTCACGTGACTTTTATACAATAATTAAAAACGCAGGATACTGACGAACAGGGGGGGGATATACAAACAAACGTGTGTTTTATCAAAAAACACATGGTTTTTATTATAGAAATACTTTTTACTGTCTCATTAATTCATCTATTATTATTGGTGTGTTATAATCAATCAAATTAACTTTCACGGAAATGAATCTCAGGATAATCTCGAATACTTTGCAATTATATAAATTATTTTAAATTGTACATCTAATACACTCAAGAATAACAATATAAGCTGATTAGTGATTACGTGATGTATAAGTTTTATTGTGAAAATATTTTTGTTTCTTTGGAAGTTCACGAAAAAAACACACAGTCATAATATTAAGTATCTAATTATATAAACTAAACTTGTTGTACTTAGCTAAATGAAGGAAGCACTTCACTTTAGTAACAGAGTGTAGACTTAGTTGCAGGGAGGAATATATTAGTTGGTCCTAAGAAGACATGTCTCAATTTTAACCTCCCCAGCTACAAGTAAAAGCGCTATTATACTGTTACTAATAAGTAACATACTGTTACTAAGCGCTATAGTACAGAAGCATACGTGCGTTATCGTAAGTAAATCAACTGTTTGACGAATTGTAACGAAATTATGTCCTGTTTGAGCTGGTTATTCTTGTTATACTGCATTTAGTCATGTTATACTGGTTACTACTGGTTACTACTGGTTACTACTGGTTGCTACCGGTTTAGTCATGTTATACTGGTTACTACTGGTTACTACTGGTTACTACTGGTTACTACTGGTTTAGTCATGTTGTAAAGGAAGGTACATTGTTGCAGTACCAGCTCTGTAGCTCACTTCTTTACCACTATGTTACCCACTACTTGGTACGTGGTGTTGGTTTGTGGGCTCTCTAAACCTACAGACAATGCTGACAGAGTACACTCTAACTCTCTAAACCTACACTCTACATACGGCTCGGCTGCACAGTGCACATAGTTACTATGCCATTACTTGTTATGTAAACTAACTGTGATGTGACGAAGTAATTGCAGCACTGTAATAATGATACATATAATATAATATAACATTACCTTGTCATACTACAATATTGTTCAGTTCTTACACTTTCTAATACACCACAAACACCTTATATACTACCCCTTCAGCACACTTTATATTTGTATGAAGCTCCAACCCTTACTATAGTCCTATATATTGTTGTAGTTCAAAGGAAGGCAGTGCTATGATAGGTGCTACTACTACAGTGCTATTAGTGCTATGATAGGTGCTACTACTACAGTGCTATTAGTATTTAGTGCTATGATAGGTGCTACTACTACAGTGCTATTAGTGCTATGATAGCTGCTACTACTACAGTGCTATTAGTGCTATGATAGGTGCTGCTACTACAGTGCTATTCGTGCTATGATAGGTGCTACTACTACAGTGCTATTAGTGCTATGATAGGTGCTACTACTACAGTGCTATTAGTGCTATGATAGGTGCTACTACTACAGTGCTATTAGTGCTATGATAGGTGCTACTACTACAGTGCTATTAGTATTTAGTGCTATGATAGGTGCTACTACTACAGTGCTATAAGTGCTATGATAGGTGCTACTACTACAGTGCTATTAGTGCTATGATAGGTGCTGCTACTACAGTGCTATTCGTGCTATGAGAGGTGCTACTACTACAGTGCTATAAGTGCTACGAGAGGTGCTACTACTACAGTGCTATTAGTGCTATGATAGGTGCTACTACTACAGTGCTATTAGTGCTATGAGAGGTGCTACTACTACAGTGCTATTAGTGCTATGATAGGTGCTGCTACTACAGTGCTATTCGTGCTATGAGAGGTGCTACTACTACAGTGCTATAAGTGCTATGAGAGGTGCTACTACTACAGTGCTATAAGTGCTATGATAGGTGCTACTACTACAGTGCTATTAGTGCTATGATAGGTGCTACTACTACAGTGCTATTAGTGAGTAAAGCTGGCACACAGGTAAATACGTGCACATATGTTCACTACTACACTAGCTATGTTACACGTGTTTACAATAACCAGATCCAGCGAGCACCGTACCAGCGAACACGTGCCTTTATATTAAAAATATATATTATATATATTATATAACACTTTATATATTATATCATATTATATTATTATAACAATATTATATAGATGTGGATACTGGCGGGGAAGTGATACTTGTTTGTTTTATTATATTATATTGTAAGCTTGACTCTATACTATCCAGTATCCCTCCTTACCTTCCTACCTTACTTACATGACACGTAACACATGGAAGTAGAGGTTCACTACAGGGATATCATTTACAGTGGAGCTGGGAGAGTTTACTTACAGGGGGACTTACAGGGGGACTTACAGGGGGACTTACAGGGGGACTTACAGGGGGACTTACAGGGGGACTTACAGGGGGACTTACAGGGGGACTTACAGGGGGACTTACAGGGGGACTTACAGGGGGACTTACAGGGGGACTTACAGGGGGACTTACAGGGGGACTTACAGGGGGACTTACAGGGGGACTTACAGGGGGACTTAAGGCTTCTTTCCAGATAAGAGCCTTTAACTTGTCGCATCAAACGGGATCAATAGAAATTTACCCAAGAAAACACCAATTAACTATTATTAGTTTAACTATGGTAACTAGTAGTGTAAATATGGTAACTAGTAGTGTAAATGTGGTATTGTGGAAATATCAAAGATGAAGATCTTGTGCCTGGAAAACACAACCGTGCTCAAGATCTACTTTTGGTTAAGAATTCCAACTCTGTAGTTCTGTAACAACTCTGTAATACTCTGAATATTTCATTTGATCCATTGTAACAACAACCCTCGTCTGCCATAATACAAGTAAAGTAAATATATCAAAACATTTTTATCCAATGGAAAATTACCCTTTTCTTCTCCAGATGAAGAAGAACAAAGCGTTAGATTCTGTACAGGTGACACTCTACTCTCTACACAAATAAAAACATTTCTAAAATACCAAAAGGGGGATAATGGGCAAGCTGTAAAACAAA